GATTTATTCCTTGACCCATGTGCTGCTTAGAAGTATACGTCCAATGTCTAAGTATTGGGGGACTTCCCGGCCCCCTTTCTGTGTTGATTCCTACACTGACTCCATTGTGTTCTGAGAGCAGACACTGTGTGATTTTCAATGTGCTGAGATGTGCTTCACGGCCCAGAGTGCGGTCGGTCTTGGTGACTGTTCCACCTGAGCTTGGGAAGAACGTCGTCTGCTGCTTCGGCTGAAGTGGTCTGGAGGTGTCAGTCATATGCAGTGGTTGACGGTGCCGTTGGGTTCAACTGAGATCTCGCTGACCTTCTGTCTGCTGGGCCTGTGCCTGCCGACAGGCGTGCCGATGTCTCTGGCCATCCGAGTGGAGTCTTCTGTTTATTATTATTGCCTTAAAATCTTTTATCTGATATTAACGTTGTGGTACCAGTCTTGTTTTTATGAGTATTTACATACTATACCTTTTACCTATTTTACTTTCAACCTTCCTGTATCTCCTTTTTAAAAATTTTGTTTTGAATTCTCAACCTTTCTGTATCTTTACGAGGTAGTTGTGTCCAATAAACAGATATAATTGTGTTGGTTTTGCTTTTTTTTTTTCCAGGGCGATGGTAATCTTTGTTAACTGTGTGACATTTTGTCCGTTATTATCAAATAAAAATCATTGGTGTGTGTGTTCCCCCTTTTTGTGTTTTATTTTTATTATTATCATCATTTATTTTATCACAGACACATTAAGTTACCCATTCTGGTTTATTTGTAAGATGTCTTGCTGGAAAGCACAGTAGGTCTGCTTAGCGTATTAACATGGAAAAGGAATGGAGTGGTCTACCGCCTTAGCATCCAGGAGACCGGGCCACGTAGAAACAGCTCTTCAGATAACAGACAGCAGGCAGTCTGAGCGGTGGTCCCCGAAAGGAGCGCATCAAGGTGAGACCCCCCGGGAGCCCAGCCACACCCACCCACCCACCCAGAGCTGTTCAGGCTGCAGGACAGGAAGGACAACCCGACTTGAAGAGACAGCGCGCAGAACTTGGGGAGCCCAAGGTGACTGGCATTTTTAGGAAGGAGTAGCAGGGGAGACAAAGCAGAGCTCTGGGGTTCTGGGTATGTCCCCCGACGTCTGCACTGGAGTCCTGGGGCAGTGGCGTGTGCAGACCACCCGCGGCGGGAGAAGGACCACGGGCCCCTCGGAGCACAGACCGCAGGCGCCCGCCCGCCGCAGGGCACTGAGCCCTCAGAAAGCGGTTGTCTCCGTAGTGGGGTCAGATTGGCCTAAAGCTGGTTCTGAGCCCGCCTAACAAAACTTAAAGACCCAGGTAGCTTAACTGCATTCTAGAACAAAGCTAAAAAATACCTAAAGGAACGACAACCTCCAGGACGTAAAATTTGCAGTGTCTGACATCCAGTGAAAGTTCCCACGGGTGCAGAGAAGCAGGAAGGACAGCCCGCGCGGGGCTCCGTGGAGCTGGAGGGCGGGCGGCTGCTCTCCCTGCGCGCCCGGCCAAGCCGCCACCAGGCGGCGCCACCACCCGCTCACCTCGGGCCACAAAGCCCTGGCTCCCGCTGCTCCCTGCCAGCCTGGTGGAGTCAACGCGGCATGACTGAGACCAGACTCTGCCTCTGCCCCGGAACCCACGCCCCCACGTATTCCCCAAGCTCGATGCCACCTTTGCCGCCTCCCGATTTTCCCACTCGGGTCTATCAGCGTAGCCCATGGGCTCCACCTCCCCATCTCAGCGCCCCCTTGTGGGAAGGTGAATACAGGGTGAGTGGAGGGTTAGTGGGGGCCATCCTGACGGCTGAGAGTTGGGGAGGTAGGTTGTCTGCTTTGGGGGAAGATGGTCCCCAAGACTGTCCGAGAGGCAGAGCCCAATCCCCACCCCATCAGCGTTCGTGCACCCCCCTTCACCCCCCTTCCCCGCCAAGGGCCCATCACCACTGGCAGCTCCTCCTCCTTGCCCTTTGTCCCATCTTATCCCAGCCCCAAAGAAAGCAGCTCCACCCCGGGCTGGCAGCCCCGGGGCTGGCACTCCATCTGTGCAGGCTGGGCTGCCCTCTGCTCCCCAGGGTCTGTGTCCTGGTGACAGGCAGGGACCAAGGCTTTCAACTGTACCGCCAGTGACAAATTGGGCAGGTCACCCAGTGGGTTCAGTGGCACCTTTTCCCCAGCTGTGACCAGACATTGTCAAATATCTCAGGGCAAAACTGCCACCCACCAAGAACTCTGGGTACAATGAAAAATCAGCGTGTTTAGTGAAGTCTATAGTGAGTCAGAAGGTAAGAACTGTAAGAAAATGAAAATTGTAAGAGTAAAGGGGTCTGGGAAGGATGGGGTGGTGCTGTGGACAAATGTGTCTCCCAAATTCATACACTGCAGCCCTAAGCCCCAGCACACAGTGTCTGGACATGGCGCCTCTGTCGGGTCTGAAGGGTCTCCATCAGCATCATTCATAACAGCTGAACTGGGACCCAACCAAAGCGGACGGAGACGCAAACATGTCCACCCAGGCAGTGGAATATTACTCAGCCTTAAAAAGGAAGGAAATGCTGCTGTAGGCTGCAACATGGACGAGCCTGGAGAATGCTGTGCTGAGCTAATTAGTCACCAAGAAACAAAGGCTGTGCAGTCCTCGCACAGCATACTCAGGAGTCAGGGCCAGAGACACAAAGCAGATGGCCAGGAAGGGGGGATGAGTTCATGGGGACAGAGTGTCAGTTTGGGGAGATGAAAGAGCCCTGGAGATGATGGTGGTGATGACCACACAACAGCGTGAATGTGTCTAATGCCACCGAGCTGTGTTACATTGCACACTTTAAAATATATATTTACCACAATTTTAAAAACAAGCTAAGAAAAGGTCCTAATGATTATCTTATGGAAACTGGACCTGGGACTGGGCAGGGGCAGCAAGAGGACAGCAGTGAGGTGACAGAACAGGCGAAGGGCGGTGGGCCAGGGGCAGTGGACGGAGAGCGCGTTCTGTGGCTGGGAGGGGGAGAGACCGTCTAGGAGGGCTGTAGGTCTGGCCTGAGCCCCTCACCTGGATGGGAGTGGACAGAGCTGCTGAGTTTTGTCTTGGGGGAAGGAGAGGGTGACGGATGGAGGTTGAAATCAGATCGGTTTTGGACTCGCTGACATCGAGAAGTCTGTTCTCCACGTGGAGGTAGATGCCCGGTGGACAGCTGGGCGTGGGAACCTGGAGCTGCATGGCTGGGCTTCACAGCCACACTGGATGAGGCCACAAAGGGTGGGGTGTACCAAGGACAGGGTCCTGGGGAGGGGACACAGAGGGGGAGGGCAAAGGACTGTCCAGCAGCACCCTCAAGGGGCAAAGACGGAGTAGGGAGGAAGCTGAGGGCCGCCGATGGCCACGTGGTGCAGACTGGTCCCTGGACTGTACGTCGGTCAGGGCAGCGCAGGGGACAGGCGGGACCAGAGTGGGCTTGAGACTAAAGGGAGGGAAACGGGACAGCAAGGAGGGGGCTGGGGGGCTGGGGGCGAGGGGCTCACGAGGCTTGTCTTGTTTGGAGGGGGATGTGGGCCGGGGTGAGGGGACACCCGCGCAGGATGGGGAGGAAGGAGCACTCGCGACCCAGCAGCTCCCAGGGTCACCGAGATTCTGCCCCTGACCGGCGGTGCGGCCCCTCCGTAGGGGCAGCCACAAGCTGGAGTGTGGAGCGGACAGAAAACAGCCAGCACCGTGCGGCGTCCTCCAGGCGCAAGTCCCACCTACCGCGCGGTGCCAGGGGCCAGGGGCCAGGGCCCTGCCCGCACCCGGCGTGCGGCCCGAAAGCAGCAGCACGCGGAGTGCGCGCGTCCGGGAACGCGGCCTGCCCACGGTTCTGGGCGCCCCGGGCGAGGCCGGGCTGCTGCAAGACCGTGTCCCCAAGAATCCGCGACGGGGCCCTTGGCCCCGGGTCAGCCCCACGGGCAGGAGCAGAATGGAGGTCACGAGCACCGCGCCTCCTCCGAGTCAGGAAGCCCGCGGAAGCCGGGCCTCCGATGTCCCCAGTCCGAGCCCTGGGGTGGCGGTAGGGGCCGCGCTGCCGACCCTGGTGCAGCGAGTCGTGGGCCTGGGCGCCTTCCCTGCGGATGAGGCTTCCGCGCCCTTGCTGGGCTTTGGAGGGGCCAGTGGACGCCAAGTGGGTCCCGCGTTCTCTGCGGGACAGGTCTCCTCGCACTCGAGGGCCGGGCGGGGACTTGAGACTCGCGCATAGGGCGCCCACGAGGGCCACACGCTTCTCTCTGCGGATCAGCTTTGTACGTTCACAGGGGAGAACAGGGCAGAGAGAGGCCTAGCGACCCCTCCGAGGTCACACTGTGTGGAGGGCAGACCTCTAGGTTGGGGGAGGGGCGGACGGAGAGGTGCCTGGACTCGAGAGGTGGAGAGGAGGGGTCGGGGCGAGGCCGACGGAGTGAGGGCCGGAGAGGAGGGACCCCACCCTAAGGCGGGCCTGGGTCGCTTCTGGACCGGATCTCCCGAGGTCGTCCGCCCGATTGGTCCCCACCGGCCCGGGGGCGCAGAGGTGCGTCTTTGCACCCGCTGAGTCCCAGACCCTCGCGTGCACCGAGCCCCTCCCTCTGGATGGGCCCCAGGGACACCCCTGCCCCTGAACTACCAAGCTCCGGCCCCAGACATCCCGCCTCCAGGCTTTGCTCCCTCCGGCGATGGCTCTGAAGTTCCGCACGAACGCCGCCGCCTCCAGGCAGCCCTCCTTACCTCATTCTGTGAGCCAGACGGGGCTCCAGGCGCAGCCCGGGCCAGGGATGCGCCTACGGAATCCTGCGGCCACCTCGGTCCCTTTAAACTAGCGGTTCCGCAGCCTCCGGGTTTCCATGACGACGACGTCGGAAAGGGAACCCGGGCGGGATCTGGTGAGAGCGCATGCGCGGTGCACGGTGCGCGCCTCGCCCTACGTCTTCCCGAGTCGGGGCGCTGCCTTCGCGGGGTCCCTGAACCACGGCAAGGGCGGGGTCGGGGCAGGGGCGCAGGGCGAGGGGCGCGATGCGGCGTCTGAGGGATGGGGGTTCGGGGTTAGTTCGCGGGCTGAGGTCGGGGCGCTGGGGGCGGGGTGGGGGGCTCGCTGGTCCCGGAGGGCGGGCGGGTATTGTGGAGGGGGGTGCAGGGCGCGCCGACCTCGCCCCGCTCCCTGCAGGGCGGCCATGGCCCCCCGGTCGCCGTGCGGACTCCCGAGGCTGCTGCTGCTGCTGCTGCTGCTGAGCGGGGCGCTGCTGGGCGCCCAGGCCCGCGCCGAGCCCGCCGCCGGGAGCGCCGTCCCCGCGCAGAGTAGGTGCCGCGTGGGTCCCCGCCCAGACCCCTCGGGCAGCGACGCCTCGCCTTGGGGCCCCGCAGTCCCCGGTGGCCGCCCTCCTGTGGGGGGCGGGGGCAGCTGGGGAGGGGGGCGGAGGCCGGTCGCTCCACGGGACAGAGCCCGGGCGACCCCGCAGTGACGCGCGTCCCCGCAGGCCGCCCGTGCGTGGACTGTCACGCGTTCGAGTTCATGCAGCGCGCCCTGCAGGACCTGCGGAAGACGGCCTACAGCCTGGACTCTCGGGTGAGGGGGCCCGCCTGGGGCCGCGGGGTCCCCGCCTCGCGCCCCACCCCGCGCAGTGCCCTCCTCTGGCTCCAGTTGTCCCGGGGCACTCTGGGCGCAAGCCTTACCTGGGAGCACTCCCCTCAAATGCCCAGCACCCCGGTTCCAGCCCCAGTGTGGGAGGGTGAAGTCTGTGAGCCCCCCACCCCCACTCCAAGGCCTGCCGCACTGGGCACGTTTCCCGATGGGCCGCCCCCCAAGCTGAGGTAGAGTACCACTCCCAGCCCAACCCTCCCCAGGTGGGCAGAGAGGGAACTGAGGCAGGGGGGAGGGCTGGTCACTTGGGGGGAGTGCTGGGCATGGTAGGTGGGCTTGGCAGGAGGGTCTGGGAGGGAGGGATTCATGCACAGGCTGCCCCCCAGGGTACTTGGAGGCAGGGGGCAACCTCCAAGTGTGGAATGAACAGTGACCCCCCCCCAGACTCTGTGCCCCAGCCAGAGTCTTTATTTATGACAGAGACATGTCCTCCTGGAATGGGCGAACCCCCGACGTAGAAAGAAGGGGAGGGCCCAGCCTTTTCTGGCCAATTCAGAAGGGCCCCAGACTGAGGCCTGGTCACCCCAGGTCTGAGGGGTCCGAGTCTCTGAGTCTGGAGCTGGGCTCCAGAGAGGAGCCCCCCCCCCATGAGGGGCTGTTAGAGGATGGGGCGCCTGAGAGGGGCTGAAAGGGTTGGAGAAGCAGGGAACAGTGTCTCGGTGGAGGGATGTGGTGCACAGGGCCCCCAGGTGGGACTGGTGCAGGGCACGACCTGTGGGGACGGAAGGGTGGGGAGGAGTTCCCAGGCCAGGCAGGGAGGGCAGCAGAGGACCTGCCGCGCTGGGGTGAAGACAGGTGGGGCCCCGAGAGTCTCAGGAACAGGTGGAGATGGACGGCAGTGGGTTTGGGGAGGAAGCCAGGAGATGGAGCAGCCTTGGGGGCTGGCGGGCGGGGCTGACTCAGTCGTACTGATTGACCCTGTTGCTTTGCAGACGGAAACCCTCCTGCTGCAGGCGGAGCGCAGGGCCCTCTGTGCCTGCTGGCCCACCGGGCGCTGAGGACCCTCGCAAGTACTGTCCCTCATTAATAAACACCCAGCCCAGCACGCCTGTGTCCTGTCTCCCTTCCGGCCACCGGAGCCCACCTGCGTCGTCCCCACCAGTCCCTGGTTGGGCCTCTCTGTGGGCCTTGATGTCCCCAGCTGCCCCGTGTGGGTGGAGGCCCTCTTGGCACCCTGTCCCACAATGGTGCCAATGCTGAGCAGAGACCCACACAGCCGGCCGCCTGTGCGGACCTGTACCCACAGGCACTGTGGCTACGGCAGGTTGGCCTTCCAGGGGCCTGCTTCCTTGCCTGTCTGCCCTGTTCTCAGGGTGGGGAACTAGAAGCTGGCTTGGGCCCTGGGGCGGCCCCAGCACTGAGCCCCTCTGCACTGGAGTGTGGACGGCTGTCACCGAGGCTTCTGGAGGCCCAGCCAGTGGACTCTGCTTAGCAGAGCCTGTGTGGTCAGGGAGCCCTAGGCTCCTCCCAGAAGGAAGGGCTGGACCTTCCCCACAGCCTCCATCCTGCCTCCAGCCTGCCTGCTTTGTCCGTCTGCAGCCCCAGCCAGGCCCCTGGGCACCAGGGACTCCTGGATGGGGGCTGGGCCGGAGGCAGGCATCCTGCCCGTGGTGTTGGGGCCACTCACATCAGTATGTGCTTAGCTTAGGGTCAGGCAGGTCTCCAGGGGGAGCAAGTGACCCCTTCCTCTCTCCTTTTCTCCCTTCCCTCTCTTCGTTTTAAGGTTTTTATCATGAAAGCGATGCTTTAAAACGTTCAGGAGCACAGCAGGGCAATGACTGAAATGACCACTGTGGGACCCTTGGCCTCTCTGGGGCCTTGGTTCCCTGGCGTGGCCGCCTCAGCGTGGCCTCCCTGGAGCTGAAGGCCCCCGGTCTGCCGCCTTCGGACGGCCCGGCTTTAGCCCACGAGTCCCCGGCCTGTCTCGGCCTCCAGATGTTGCCTGTGATCGGTGTGGTCTGTTCCACTCCCCCCTCCAGGCCCCAGCGGGCCCGGCCCTGCCCTCCCTCCACCCCGCTGGCCCCCACAACCTGTCCGTTGTGCTTTTGTGCTTGGAAGCGCCAGCCCGCAGGCAAAGACACGAGTCCTCTGCCCAGGCGGAAGGCCGAGCTGGGTGTCTGGTGGCCGCGATGCCCGGGGACCCACAGCAGGCCAGAGATACTGGAGAAGCGGGAGCCGTGGCCAGTCCAGTGTGGCCTCAGGCCTGGGCACGAACAGTGTGGTGGCAGGGACCGGGATGCCCCTCCTGGGGCCCCAGAAAGGAGCTGAGGGGCAGCCGAGGCAGGTGTTTCTCCCGTAGGGCAGTGTTGGTACCCATGTCTGGTTGACCTCAGTCCCAGGGCCGTTCCTGGGTGCAAGGAGGCAGGGACGCAGCCTGTGTCTGGGTCTGGCTGCAGGCTTAGCAAATACCAACACAGGACTGATGAGGACCCTCAAGTGCAAAACCAAAGGGCTTTTAGGGGAAGTACTTTTCAGTATAAGTATATCCCCTGCAATGTTCCAAACGTAGTTTTACTAAATTTTTTTGTTTTTTATCCAAAATTTAAATTTAGCGTAGCTGGTGATGCTCAGTGGACTGAGCGTGGTCCCATGGACATGCCTGGGTTGCAGGCTTGATCCCCAATGGGGGCGTGCAGGAGGCTGCTGATTGATGCTTCTCACATCCACGTTTCTCTCTCTGGAAAAGCAAAATCAATAAATTTAGTTGGGCATCCTGTATTTTATTGGCAGTCATAAGCCCTGGCACAAATTGGGTTTTTATTTTTTTTAATAATTTCTTTTTTATCCTCACCTGAGGACATTTTTTTGCATTTATCTTCAGATAGAGTGGGAGGGAGAGAGGGAGGAAGAAAGAGAGAGAAACATCGATGTGAGAGAAACACATTGACTGGTTGCCAACCACACGACCCCAACCGGGGCTGGGGACAAACTGCAATTGAGGTACGTGCCCTTAGCAGGAACCGAACCCAGGACTCTAGTCTGCGAACTGACGCTCTAACCACTGAGCCAAACTGGCCAGGGCTAAATAATTTTTTTCTTTATTGATTTTAAAGAGAGAGGGAGAGATGGAAACATCGATTGGCCGCCTCCTGCAGGCCCCCCTCTGGGGATCGGACCCACAACCTGGGCATGTGCCCTGACCAGGAATCAAACCGGCAACCTCTTGGTGCAGGGTCAACGCTCCACCACTGAGCCACACTGGCCGGGCACAAATGGAGGTTTCTAGTGATAGAAAAGATAGGGACAGTTGAGGGCTTGTGACAGAAAGCCTATCAGGGAGGTGCCCTCTGGGAGGAGGTAGGGGCTCCAGTCAGGTGGGGTGGGGTGTGCATGTGGGGAGCAAAGTGGGGGCCAGGAGGCTGCTGGGCATGGTCTGTCCAGCGAGTGGCCCACAGCTGCGGTGTTGGGAGAGGCAGGAGGGAGTGGGGACATTGTGGTGGAGAGGGCCCCTCGGGCCCTGGGGAGCGGAGCAAGCAGGGAGCAGGCACCTTGGGTGGCAAGAACTCAGTCAGCGTGAGAGGGGCCCAGTGGAGGGCAGGGCCGGGCTGGGTGGTGGCAGCGTGAGACGCAGGTGTCTTTGGAAGGACAGCCAACAGGACTGGCCTTTGGAGGGTTTGAGAGACAGGGCGAGGGGAGGAGGATGGATCTGGGAGGAAGGACGGGTTGGGGCCGGATATGCTGGCAAAGAAGTGGGAAAGGGGCTGGAGAGAGAAGGTTGGGGCAGTGCTGGCTGAGGTCCCTGTGGCCTGAGTGGACAGAGGAGAGAGGAATGCTGAGAGGGAGAGAAGAGGGATCCCAGAGGAGACGGGGCAGCCAGGAGGCAGGGCGAGGGCCCCGGGAGGAGGGGTCGGCACGGCACATGCTGCTGAGGTCAAGGCCCCAAACTAGACCACTGCATCTGACCACTCTGGTCATCGCCAACCTTGGCAAGAACAGGAGTAGGGGTGGGGAGGGCCCAACTGGGGGTTCTGTTGGAGCAGCAGAAGTGGAGAGTCAGCACCCACAACTCTGGCAAGGAGTGTGGCCAATGGCCTTGAGCTTCTGTCCTGGAGCCGGGACGCCAAGGTAGCTGAGCGAGGCTAAGCCGGGAGAACAGCTTTTGTTTTTCCTCTTCTCATCCTTCCGTCCTCCAGCAGCCAAGCTTCCACTGCCCCCTGCTGGCCCGGGCCCTCCTGCCCCCAGCCAGCTGGGCATCCCCAGCCCACTGCCCACTCTTCCCCCTTCTGCTCTGGTCACATGCCCGCTCCCTGTTGCATGCGTTCAAGTAGCTTCCTGGAAACCGGGGTGGGGAGGAAACTGAGCCAGCACCCTCAGTTCACAGCCACTCCCCTCGGGCTCTGCACCTGCTCCGTCCTGGCCATGGAGTCACGGCCTGGCCTCCTCCGAGACCTCCCTCCCTCTTCAGCCCCTCGCTGTTTGTCCCTAAGGGCTGCGGGGTGCTCGTCTCTGTTCTGAGCAGTTCAGTCCGTTGACCGCCAGCTGCCGGGAAGCAGGTGGCTGTCAGGAGCGTCCTTCCCCGGGAGTCCTCCAAGCTGGCCAGGTTGTGACCAGGAGTCTGGGTCCGTCACCCGGGGAGATCATCCTCACCTGTCTCATCGCTGCTTCCTCCCTTCCTCTTCTCTGTGGAGACCCTGTCCACTGCACCTGGGCCTTCTGATTCGGTCCTGCGCTTCTGCCCATCTCCGGGCCCTTTGGTTGATGTCCTCCAGCACGCCCACTGACCTCTCATCCTGCCCAGTCCTATTTCCCAAGCCCCTGCCTGTGCCCCCAGGGGAGCTTCTCACCCCCCCCCATTTCCTGTGGCAGGGACAGGCTGCACCCATCGGGTGTTCAGAGGACCACGTGTCTGCCCATGGTTCTGCCGTGGGTCTGCCCGTGGGTCTGCCTCTGGAATGTGGGCACACAGTTCCTCATCTGGGGACTGGCCGAGCCCTGGCAATGGTGTTGGACTGGGGGGAGGGCACCAGGTGGAATCTTAGGGTGGTCTGGCAGCCTGAGGGTCTCAGGTGGGTGGAGGGCTCCCAGAAGCAGAAGCAGAGGAGTGGGTGGGACTTCATGGACAGGTGGGGTCCAGGGGCAGGGTGCTGGGAGAACAGACCGGCTTTGACCTGCCCAGCCCAGCCCGTCTTCTTGTCTGTAAAATGGGCTCCTAATGTGGGCTGAAGGCACAGCCTTCCTGGGGTGGATGGGAGCACCCCCAAGTCTCGGAGGCTCAGTGGTGTGGCCGGGGGCTGCCCTGCTGCCCTTTGAGGTCACCCCCTTTCCAAGTGCATTAAAGCCCAGGCCCTGAAGTCTCCACGACCTTCCAGGTGGCTGTCCGTGGAGTACAGCCCTGGCCCTTCCAAGCTGAGTCTGGCTGCCCCTCCCATCGCCTCCTGGCAGTCTCCAGCCCCTGTGGACCAGCGGATTGGAGCGCTGGGCTGGCCAGGGCACCCTGGACCCTGAGGGCTTTCTGGGACTGGTGGGGGCTGAAGGTGAGGTCAAGCCGCCTGGAGAGAGGGCCCTCTGCAGGTGCAGAACTGAAGGACTGCCAAGGTCACTCAGAGTGTAAGCCCAGGACCCTGTCTGTGCTTCCTTTGCTGGCCCCATCATCAAGCACGACAGTGCTGCAAGTCCCTGAGCTGGCACTCAAAGGCCACCATCACAGCCCAGCCTCCCCTTTCCCTGAAGCCCCTCGACCCTCCAGCCACACCAGCGCCCCTCCTCAAGTCCGGATTGTTCCTGCCTGGACCCCTCGCCTGCCGTTGGCTTGGCTGGGACACGCGCCATCCATCTGGCCGACCTCAGGACACGCGGCCTGGTCCCATGCAGCGGGCCACCCTGCGCTCGGGCGGCACTCGGAGGGAGTTCTGAATGGACCCCTGATCGTCCATGACTCCCTTTCCAGTCCCCTGGAAGGTCACAGCCAGGCGTCTCGGAAACATGGTGTGGAGGTGACTTCCCAGCCCGTCTGCCGCCGCCCCTCGGCAGCCCTGGCTGTGGATTAATTCGGCTCCTTGGATCCTGTCCTCCCTCTGTCTACTCTGCCTGGGTCCCTCGGCGCGACAGTGGCAAGGGGCAGTCCCTTCCTGGCCTCTGGGTGAGGGCAGCCACCTCGCTGGGCCCCAGTGTGCACTGAAGGTACTCAGGCCCGCACCCCTAAGCTTCATCCCCACCAGCGCGTACGGTGAACTCGGCTCCAGGCTGCCTTGTGAGGTGACCTCCGGGGGAATGTGCGGCAATAGGAGGGGAGGGGATGGGCACATAAAGTGCTGGGGGTTCTGGGGCTACTCCCCCCCCCCCGCCTCCACCCTCACCCCTGGCCCGCAGCGTCGGCGGGTCGGGCTCTCCGCGGCTGGGAGAACTTCGCCAGAGCCCCCCCACCCCCACCCCTGCACCTGCACCGAGATCGCAGGACGCATGCGCGGGCCGCGGAAGGCGGGGGCCGGGCCGGGAGGGGTCCTGTGGGCCCCGCACCCCCCTCCTCCCCGCTGCCCGCTACGGGCATCCCGCGTCTGAGCAGGGGGTGCTGCTCTGCGCGACGCGGACATCAGACCGCGCCGCTCGCATCCCCGCGCTTCCAGCCCGCGCGGCCCCGGGCGCACTTTCCCAGGGGCGCCGGGCCGGGGAAGCTGGGGTGCCCCCCAGGGCCCCGCGGGGCGCTGCGTGCAGACAATGGGGCGGGAGACGGAGGTGCTTTCGTGACTGCGGCCGGCGGCTGGAGAGGAAGAGGAGGACGCGGCGCGGCGGGATCCGGTCCAGGCGCTTCCAGGCCCGCGCGGAGCGGCGACGGCGCGGGGGTGCAGAGCCGCCGCGGGAGGCGCTCCGCTCGGAGCCCCACGGAGCGCCCCCTCCAGGCCCGGAGCCCCGGCCGCGCGCGCGCTCGGCCCCGGCCACCCGGCGAGGCTCCGCGGCTGCGTCGCGCCCCGGGCCGCCCGCGCCGCCCCCGCCCGGGCACGTCCTCGCTGGCGGCCGGAGCTCGGCCGCGGTGCAGCGCCCAAGTGTGCCATCGGGCGGGCGCGGAGGCGGCGTCTGCTCCCACCCCCGAGATCACATGGTGACCCTCGGCAGCCAATGCAGTGGACGCTAGGACCCTGCGGGACCCCGGGCGCCGCGACTGCACCGGCGCCGCTGCATTATAAATACTTCTCCAAAATGCGGCGCAGCTCCCAGCGCGCGCCCCGGCCGCCCGCCGCCTCCGCCCCGCGCCCCTGAGCCGCGCCGCCGCCGCCGCCGCCGCCGCCGCGGGTCCGAGGGCGCCGCGCCCTTGCCCTGGGCCCGGGCTGTGCCCGCCCGCCGCCCGGCCCGCGTCCCCGCGCTGCGCCGCCCGGCCGGGTGCATGCATTGTGAGCCTCCCGACATGGTCTGCGAGACGAAGATCGTGGCCGCCGAGGACCATGAGGCGCTCCCGGGGGCCAAGAAGGACGCGCTGCTCGCCGCCGCCGGCGCCATGTGGCCCCCGCTGCCCGCCGCGCCTCCACCCGAGCCCCAGCCCCTGGGCGGAGCGGGGGGCGCGGGGCTGCCCGAGGGGCGCGGCGTGCACATCCGCGAGTTCCGCGCGGCCGAGCAGGAGGCGGCGTGCCGCATCTTCTACGACGGCATCATGGAGCGCATCCCCAACACGGCCTTCCGCGGCCTGCGGCAGCACCCGCGCACCCAGCTGCTCTACGCCCTGCTGGCCGGTCAGTGCGCCGGGACCTGCCGCAGTCCGCGCCCGCCCGGCCCCTCCGGGGACGCGCGCAGGGCTCCCCCTGCCCGGGCACCCCGCCTCCGATGGCCGAGGCTGCGTCCCTGGCCGGACGCGGCCCCGGAGGAAAGCGGACCCCAGCGCCCCCTCGCACGCGCGTGGACACGCACCCGCGCCACCCCGCTCTCTGCGGCGGCCTGGCGAGGTGGCCTCCCGCGGCGGGGCCGGCCGGGCTGCCGGCCAAGGCGCGCCGGCGGGGGCGTGGGAACCAGCGCTGGCCGGGGCAGGGGCTGCGGGAGGGGGGAGCAGGCACCTCCACCTGCGGCCTCGCCTCTCCGTCCCCTCCCGGGTCATCCGGGTGGGGGCGGGGGGCGGCAGGTAGCGCCCAGGCTGCGGCTCCGCGCCTGCCGCGTGTAACTATATATAATCCGCGGGCGGGGGAGGCTGCTCGGCGGCTCCGAGCGCTAATTTATGAAGGGAAGACAGCCAGTTCCGGGGGACGCGGAGCGAGGGGGCGTGGGCCCCCCGGGTGGGCAGCTCCGCAGGGGCGTTGGGGCCTCTCCCCGAAGCGCTTCTCCCATTTCACAGATGAGGAGCTTGAGGCTTGGGGTGCGGTGCGACTTTCCCAAGGTCATGCGGCAGAGGCAACTTTGGCTGCGGGCGCGTCTGCCTCTGGCAGCTTAGATGGGGCCGAGCAGGCTCGGGCCTTCTTGCCTTGTCCTCCCCCCCCAACCCAGGAGGGCTTTCGAGGGGGTCCTGGGAAGGTGGTCCCGGGACCTTCCTGGAAGGTGCCCCTCTTCCCAGGAGGAGTGGGGCGGCCTGCAGGAGCCTTGCCGGGCAACTCCTTGGCTTCCCACCAGGCCCGAGTTGGCAAGAGCGAGGGCAAAGCCCCTCTGCGGAGCCACGTGGGTGGTGGGCAAAGGCCGGGTCTCAGGAGCCCCGCCTGGGGCGCTCCTGCCCGCGGAGGCACTGCTGTCCTCCGGGCGGTGAGACATCCTGGGATGTCAGGTCGCAAAGGCAGCAGACCCGTTTGCTGGGGAGGTTGACGGATGACAGGGAAAAGTGGGAAGGAGCAGCCAGGATGACCTGCTGCTCCTCCGGAGAAAACAGTCCTGGCGTGTCACTCCTCTGTGCAAGCCGGCCGGGCTTACTCACCAGGGGACCTGTGTAGTGTGTGGCTGCTTCCTGCCCATCTCCTGGGGTGGCAGGGCTGGGCCCCCTCCCGAGTCCTCACCGTGCTCCCCTTCTGTGTCCTCACCGTGCTCCCGGTATCCTCACCATGTGCCCCCCAGTCCTCACCGTGCTCCCCTCCCGAGTCCTCACCGTGCATCCCCCGAGTCCTCACCGTGCGTCCCCCGAGTCCTCACCATGGCCCCCTCCCGAGTCCTCACGGTGTGCCCCCCGAGTCCTCACCGTGCGTCCCCCGAGTCCTCACCGTGGCCCCCTCCCGAGTCCTCACCGTGCGCGCCCCCAGTCCTCACCGTGGCCCCCTCCCGAGTCCTCACCGTGGCCCCTCCCGTGTCCTCACCGTGGCCCCTCCCGTGTCCTCACCGTGCACCCCCTCCCGAGCCCCCACCGTGGCCCCCTCCCGAGTCCCCACCGTGGCCCCCTCCCGAGTCCCCACCGTGGCCCCCTCCCGAGTCCCCACCGTGCACCCCCTCCCGAGTCCCCACCGTGCGCCCCCTCCCGAGTCCTCACCATGCACCCCTCTTTCCACAGTGCTCTGTTTTGTCCTCACCCGCTCGCTGCTGCTGACATGCCTGGTGCCAGCCGGGCTGCTGGGTCTGCGTTACTACTACAGCCGGAAGGTGGTCCTTGCCTACCTGGACTGCGCCCTGCACACGGACATGGCCGACATCGAGCAGTACTACATGAAGCCCCCCGGTGAGTCCCCAGGGCCCCAGCCTCCCCCTCCTCTCTTTGCCCCCCTGGCTTCCCCCAGCCTCCCCTCTGGCAGAGCCACCCTAGCTCAGGCCAGGCCTGGGGTGAGGGCCAGGCAAGCGTGGGCCCCATGACTAGACTTCCGCGTGACGGAGGGCTCTGGCCAACAGTTTGGGGTGCAGTGGGCTGGCAGAGGCTAGGGGGCAGAGCTAGGTTCTCGGTGCTGAACCAAGGTCCCTGAGTATCTGCATGGGCCTGCCTGGCCTGGCCATGTTCCTCACGCTGCCGGGTGCCCTTCCTCCGGCATTTACTGAGGGTGGGGTTGCTCTCACCTCTGTGTGGTCCTGTTTGGTCCAAGGTGCCCATTGGTGTCTTATTGGGTCCTGGGCTGCCTGGAATGTCAGGGCCCGGTGGTGGGGGGCGGTATGGCAGGCCCAGAGGACCCTGTGGCTGGGACAGGACTGAAGAAGGCCAGAGGTCTCTCTGCGGGGGCAGGGACCCTGGGGGAGCAGGGGTCTTAAGTTTTGGTCTCTATTTCTGGTCTCTGGACCGCTTAATGCATCAGGGTGCCCCACCCCCAACCCCTGGCAAAGCCTCCTGGAGGGGGAGGGGCTTGGACATGGTCTGGAGGGGCCTGTAGCCCCCTGGGACCACTGTCCGTCCTCCAGGCTGGCCCGAGGCAGGCTTGGTCCTGGGAAGCAGCACCCCTGGTCTTCTCCAAGCCCAGAGCCAAGGTCAGACCCTTCATCTCAGCTCTCGGGGGTGTGAGCATCTCCCAGGTGCTGGAGGGTCCCTGGGCTGAGGAGTGGGGACAGGATGGACTCACATCGTTGGTTGGAGTTTAGCAAGAGCCTGGTGAGTGTCATGGAAGGACAGTGGCGAGCAAGAGAGGCCGGCTGTCCCAGAGCACGGGTGACCTTCCCTGGCACTGCCAGCTCCTATGCCCACCTGTTCCGGCCCGGCCAGCTCACCCTGCAGTGGCTGGTCCCACCCCCACCCCCACCCCTCCAGCTGTGTGCTGGCCTTGGGCACCTTGGGTTTCCTTGACCCTTTCTCAAACCAGACAAAACATCTCGCCAGCCTCACGGAGGCCTAGTTGCAGCCTGGCTCTGCCCATGATGGGCTGGGCCAGAAGGGTGAGGCCCACCTGGCTGGCGCCAGGGTCCAGGAGCTGAGGGGGCTCTGGTTGGGGGCTGGGTGTGGCGTGAGGACCCCACTCTCGGGCCCATGCTGTCTGGGCTGCAGTCTTCCTGAGTGTGACGTTGGGAGCAGGGCCCTCTTGGCCCTCCTGAGACATCTGGTGGGTCTGGGAAGACCCCATGGGGCAGAGAGGCTGGACAGCAGCCAGTGGGGCCACGCTACTTTCATGGGAACTGGGGTCTGGGAGGGGCGAGTCCCCAGGACCTTGGGTGGGCGTGCATGGCGGTGTGCCCTCAGCATCTGACTCTGCCATCCCTAAGGGTGGCCACATGTCAGGTCTCAGTACAGCCCTGCAGGAGACAGGAGGTCTTGCGGATGGACCTGACTGGCTGACGGGGTGCTGCGGGCTGACAGGACAGTGGGGGACCCCCAGGGGCCGTGGAGGAGTGGGGGGTCTTCTGGACAGGGCCCAGGTGCAGAACTTCTCATGGGGAGAGTTTGGTCCTTCGGGGGGGGAGTTGGGCTGGGAGACTTGGTGATGGAGGTGGAGTGGGCATGAGCAGGGACAGGCAGGTGCACCCCTCCCGCCCCCAGCCAGCCCTGGCCTCCCATAACCCCTGGGTCTTTGGTCACCAGAGGTGACCGGCTGTCCCAGTGGCCTGTGCCCTGCAGTCCTCTCTCCTCTGGTCTTCGTTCCCTCTCCCCTCCTTGCTGAGGCCGTGTTCCCTGAGGCCTCTCCCCTCCCCCACCGTCCTCCCCAGCATGGGGCAGTGATGGGTCCCGGCCGTGGGTGGGGACATCGGGCCTGGTCACTAGGCTGGCTGCCCAGCAGAGGCCAGGGTCAGTGTGGGGGGAGTGCCCATGGCCATCCAGGGCTCCCCACTTGGGTTTCTCAAGTGTCTACAGACTTTCCCCTGAGCCTCCCGGAGGTCATGGGGTTCCCAGGCCCGGCAGCCCCTGACCGGAGGGTGGAGGCCAAGGGTTGGCACAGCCACAAGCCCCTGAGATCCCCTGAGGCCCTCGGAGTTGTGGCCCCTAGAGGTGGCCCTGCTGCCCTGGCCTGTGCTCCCAGACCCCACCTAGCGCCCACTGTAGGAGCCCGTGCAGACGTGCTCTCTCCAGCCCTGGGAGGGGCCGGGATGGGTGTGCTGGGCCCTGACGGCTGGGGGCCAGGCGGGCTGGCTGTGCCCACGGCCTCTCTGTGGCCATCGTGGCTGTCCGGGCATGTGGTCTGGGGTTTCTGGGCTGGAGAAGGGCTCGATCGGCTGAGGCCTGCCCAGCTGCTGGTCACGGGGGAGGGACTCCGGCCCAGGTCAGAGGCCACTCTGGACTGCCAGGCTCGGGCAGCTGTGCCACCACAGAGCCAGCAGCCCTGACCGCCCCGTCCCTCACAGGCTCCTGCTTCTGGGTGGCCGTGCTGGATGGCAACGTGGTGGGCATTGTGGCGGCGCGGGCCCACGAGGCGGACAACACCATGGAGCTGCTGCGTATGTCCGTGGACTCGCGCTTCCGTGGCAAGGGCATCGCCAAGGCGCTGGGCCGCAAGGTGCTGGAGTTCGCTCTGGTGCACAACTACTCCGCGGTGGTGCTGGGCACGACGGCCGTCAAGGTGGCCGCCCACAAGCTGTATGAGTCTCTGGGCTTCAGACACATGGGCTCCAGTGACCACCACGTGCTGCCCGGCATGACCCTCTCGCTGGCCGAGCGCCTCTTCTTCCAGGTCCGCTACCACCGTTACCGCCTGCAGCTGCGCGAGGAGTGACGCTGCCCGCCGCCCGCCCGCTGCCTGGCCGCCCGTCCGCCTGCACCCTCCTGCCCACCGGGCTGCTTTCAGACGCTCACCTCGGCGTTTCTGTTGGGTTTTTCCTTTTTCAACATCATGTGGTTCTCTGGCTGGTTCTGGGGAGACGGGGCTATTGCTCATCCGTGACACTTCGGGGGGTGGGTCATCTGCAGCCATGGCCCCTGCCCTCCCTGGCCTGCTGGGGCCACGCCCTGAAGAGTGACCACCCCAAGCCCACACAGCTGCCTGGCCCTGGCTGGCAGGGCTCCTGGCCCACGGCCATCGGGGCGGGCCCGGCCTAGCCCCTGAGCACAGAACCTCTCAGTGAGGCCCCTGCCCAGGGGATCCCTGGCCACCCTCCAGGCTCTGCCTCAGCCGTTGGGCCCCAGGAGGCGTGGCCTGCTGGCCGGCCAGCCACTGTCTCACGGGCCTCTTTGCTCTGTGCATGGTGACCATGTGGCCCGGCTGCAGCATGCTGCATGCCCACAGCTCCTGCCCCGCTGCCCTGCCCCTTGGGCCGGCTGGGCAGTGCCCCTGCCCAGCCCTGAGCTAGCCCCGGGCAGCCACCTGCTTTCAGGAGGGCCGGTCTCATGGGTCCCTTGCTTCACCCAGTTCCGCTTGGCTTTGACACCCAATCACCTTCTTTCCTTTTGGTCGCCACCCCTCCCCTGCCCGGGCTTTGCTGATTGGCGTCATCACCCAGGTGTGGTTCCCATAGAAACCTGCTGCACAGCCGTGGTCAGGGCCCTTCAGGAGAGCAGGATGGGGAGGCTTCTCCCCCAGCGCCAGCTTGCTCGCAGTGGCCTCCCCCAGCCCCCAGGACCTCCCGCCTCACAGCCTGCCCTGAGAATCTTACTAACCCAGGTCGCGGCCACCACTGAGCCCGCAGCTTCTCCCAGCCTGACACCGACCTGTTTTTTTAATACGTTGTTTAGACAGAATAGCACTCTGCATGTCTTTAGTTCTTGGGACAAAGCGGTAGTTGATACCCTCTCTCACACACACCTGTGTGGTCTAGAATCTGCATTATTTCTGGCCCAGTTTGGTTGGGGTGGGGGGGTGGCCGGGTGGGTGGAGGGCTTCAAAATTTGGAATCTGGAGGGAGACCCTGATTTAGCATCATTTCCCCCAAAGAGCATTCCTGGTTGGTGAGGAGGCTGTGGGCCACTCCGTCCAGCCCTGATATGCTGCTGCCTTTGGGAGATACCCTTGGGCCTCAACATCCACTGTGGCTGGGGCCGGGCTGTGCGCTCAGCCTCCCGAGGCTGGCAGCCGGGGCGTTGGCCGTGGGTGCCCTGGACCAGGGCAGCTGGTGGTGGGCAGTGGCCGCATGTCCAGCCCCCAGCCTGGACCCAGCCGCTGTGACCCCTTCACTCGGGGCTTGGAGGAGGGGGAGGGGCAGGGGCAGTGGGCCACTGACCCGGGACCACGGAGGGGACAGTCTTAAAAGGCTCTTCGGAAGCTAGTGAGGGAACAAGATGCCCAGTTCCCGGGAGCCCTGTGCCCCAGCAGCGAGGCGCTCGCGGAGCCTGTACAGACCCGCTCTCCCTGTACATACCCCTGGAGGTGCCCGGCCCCGCTCGGGGTGGGGTTTTGTAGACTGTACAGAAATCGGCACCCTATTTTCTTGCAGCTCTCAGATTTTGTTAACCTGGATTATACAGACAGACGTAAAGTGTTTTAGCAAAATGGAAACAAACAGCTGTGCCTTTTTCCTCTTTCTGTTCGGTTTGGTTTCGGCTGGGGGCAGCCTTAGTTGCCGCGGGGCCTGGTGGGCAGGATGGGCAAGCGGTGGCCTCGGTCAGCGTGGTGGGTCGCGTCGGGGTAGCTCGGGGGTGACCCTGTGCCTTTGGAGCCTCTGGTCCCTGGGGTGGGGCCGCGCATGGGGCCCTGGGGCTGCCGGTGTCTGGTGGATGTTGACCAAGCCCCTTGCTGGCAGTGCTCCTGGGCAGTGGTGTGGCCATTTCCTGTCTGAGCGGGGCTGGGGGCTGCCGCGTCTGCCCCGGTCAGATGGTCCCGAGCGGGTGGACGCTGCCTGGGCTCTTGACCTTTCTCTATTGCCCTTTGTTGCTGCCAGGTCTCGGGGGAGATGCAGGAGGGTGTGGCAGGGTGGCCACGTGCCCGAGCCCTGATGCCTAGCCACTAAGGTGGTGGAGGCATTTGTGCACCCACCAGGCAGGGTGTGCTCTGCACCGAGGACAAGGCCCTTGGCCGGGCAGACCCCAAGGTCCTCTGGGGCAGATCTCCACCCCCCGCTGGTGGGAGGCCGGGTGCCCCATAGGGAGGCTGTTCCTGGCCCGTGCTTCCCTCCAGCCTGGGTGCTAACTGCTCCAGGAACATGCACTGAGACGTGACTTTTATACGTTTGTAGAAATTCTGATGTTACCTCTTCTACCTCTGTGAAGCGTCCTCCTGAGGCCTGCTCAGCCACGTCTGGCAGCTTCTCTGAGTTGGCCGGCCTGGGCCCCCTCCTCCCTGGTGGCGGCCGGGTGAGGCTCAGGGAGAGCCAGCCCTGTGCCAGGCATCTGTGCTTAGGGGTCGGGAAGCCTGTTTCTGGAGCAGGGAGCAGGAGGTAGAATGTGCCAGAATGTCTTCCTTAAACGGACAGCTTTAGGCAGAGGGATCCAGGGCAGCCGCAGTCCCCAGGCCTGACCCAGCGCCACCAGGCTCTTGGTGTGTGGCTGGTAGGCCATCCCCAGGCAGGTCCTACTGCCCAGGTACGGGCTCTGTGAACAGCTGGCTCCCCAGGGTCGGTGGTCTGCACATGCTGAAGCCAGCCACGGGGCCAGGCCTGGGGAAGGGCCATGGTGGCGTCTCCCACCCTTCACCCCCACCCATGTTAGGCTTGGCCTCCCAGTGCTGCCTGTGGGTGGAGGGGGCAGAGGGATGGGGACCGTCGGCCCTGAGTGGGTGAGGGGCTCTCCCTGGGAGAAGGTTTAGGCTGCAGGCCCTGTGGACAGCTGGCCTGAAGCCCTGAAGTCCGTGGGTGGCCCCCTTCCTGCTCTGGGTACTTTCCTCAGAGACGGGGCCCCTTCGAGGGGACGAGGGTGTGCTCCCAGGTGGCTTCCTCAGGCGTCTGGCAAGCGTTCGGGAGGCTCTCTGGGCCTAGAACCTGGCTCTGGTCTCTGGGGGGACATTCGCGTTAGAGCACCTGCCCTGAGGGGGGCCGGCGTGTGGCGGGGTGGTTTGGGGCTGGGTGGCCCCCAGGAGCCTTCCTGCTGGTGTCCAGCCAGGTGGGCAGCGTTGCCGCGGTGCATTTGAAGCTACTTCTGTGAATAGTTTTGGCCGCGTACCCATGTTCCTGTGCTGGTGGCCCTTCGCTGAGGCTTTGGGGCCTGAGGTGCGGACGGGGTGAGGGCGGGTCCCGGAGCTTGTTCGCTGCTGGGTGCCCACGACGCGCTCCGGCAGTGGGAGGCAGCAGGACGGTGGGCCGGGCTCACCGTTGTTGGAGGCATTTCTTTTGACAGCAATAATGAGCCGTGTTGAAGAAGGGGTGCCTGTGAGCGTGCAGATGTGGCGTGTGCCTGTGTGTGCGCGCCGGCATGTGTGGGGCAGGGCGGGAGCCTGGTGCCAGGTCTCCTGCTCCTCCTGGGATGGGGGCCGGGGGTGCTGGGCAGAGATGGCGCCGTGTCCTGAGCGGGCTCAGGGTCCCAGTGGACCAAGGGTGGTGCCCTTCCCCGGCGGAGCCTGCTGCCCGAGGGCAGCGCCACCCCGACGGGCGTTTGCCTGGGTCCCTGGGCATGTGGGGAGGGTGGCTGAGGTCAGATTTGGTGACATGGAGTCACCTCGGCCAGGCTGTGTGGCCATGGCTGCCGTGGAGCCCAGAGCCAGTCACAGTGCCTGGTTTACTGCTTGTGAACCCACAACGGGGTGACTTTCCTGAGACCCCAGCATGTGCCAAAACAGCCCCACGAGGGCCCGGAGTGGCGGCGAGCCGGGTTCCAGAGACGGGCTGCGGGGCCAGGGGTGGGCAGGGCCCCAGCTTCCTGTGGGTGTGTGAGCAGCAGGAGAGGTGGGGGCGGTGGGGCCCCTCCACCTGCACAGCCCCCAAAGCTGCTGTTTTTCAATAAAACCAGAGTTGACAGAACTGGCTTCCTCGCCTTCTTGAGGTGTCCCCAGCCTGCTCAGTGGGAGGGGCTGAGAGACCTGTCCCCCTGGTGGCCCGGGGTCTGCAGGTGGCGCCAGCCCCACTTGGGGGACAGTGGGACCTGGTGTCTGTGAGGTGGGGGACACGGGGCTGGGGTCCAGGTGGGAGGGCAGGGTGACGGGCAAGGAGAGGTTCAGGGTGGACACCCTGGCCTCATGGACGGGCCTGCGCCTGCCCGGCCCCAGGCAGCTCTCACTGTGGTCCTCTGCCCTGGCCCTGCGCCCGGCACACCCTTCCGGAGCATCTGCCCGCAGCCGTGGGCGGTGCAGCAGGTGGGCTCCCTTCTCTGGGGTCGGCTACGTTGAGCAGTGCCAGTGGGTCTGAAGCCTGAAGGCGCCAGGCCTGGGGACGCGCCCTGTGGGGCACACTGGCTGGGCCGGCCCAGGGGACGTGGGCATGCTGGGAGGCCCGTTCCCAAGGCTGGTCATTTGTCTTGAGCAAGACGTCCCTTGTAAGTCCCTCCAGTGCCTGTGCCTGAGGTGACCATACACACAGATGCCAGAGACGCGCCCACCACGAACACACAGCTCAGCCCCCTGGCATGGAGGGCCCAGGCCCACCCCACGCAACCAGTGATGGCACCTTGGAGCACGAGAACGGCGGGCCTGGGCCTGAACGAGTGGCCACGCCCCCCAGAGGACACACGTGCCCAGTGGGCTCTGCCCAGGCGGCAGCACAGATGACCCAGTCGCCGCTTAAACAGGGGCAGCCTTTGCCCAGTGGGCTCCCGTCAACATGTTCACCCCGCCCTGGTCAGATGCCATGGAGACCAGGGGTGGAGCCTAGGTCCACATCCGAAAGCTAGTGGGAGGAGGTGCCAGGGTCTGGAAACGGGGTCACCGGGGCGCATTCCCCAGGGCCAAGACAGGCACAGCAGAGCAGTGTGTGGGGTACAGCCGACTGCAGACCCAGCTGGGCACTTATCAGCCGTGTGTATTTGACAAGTGCTGTAACCATGCCTCAGTTTCCCCATCATGCAAGGGCCGTCACACTGAGGCCACGCAGGCTGCTGCAAGGCTGCGGGGCACAGCTGGGCCCTTCCCTTGGCACTGGGGGTCTGTGAGAACTGCGTTGAGAGTGGATTGGGCTGGGGGACAGCCTGCTCCCTGGGCCTCGCCGGCCGGCCTGCCATGGTGGGGAGACTGCAGGCCCTGCAGGCAGCTGCATGGAGTGCTCAGCCCTGGCTCTGGCCGGGGGGCCGAGGGCTTGGGCAGCTCCCACCCGCAGGAAGAAGTCACTCTGAAGGATGCACTCAGCTTTGCATGTGGCGTTTACTCCAGAGGGTGTCTGGCCCGTGCCGTGTCCTGCCCCAGCTGCCGGCACAAACCACCAGCGCTGACCTTGGGAAAGGCCACACCAGGGGGCCGGTGGGAACCAGTTCTGACCTCCCGCGGTTGCCCGGGGCTACAGACCAAATGAAGGCAAAGAATGCAGGCGAGGGGGCAGGTGCTGACCAGGGGCCAGCGGTGGCCTGGTGGTTGCTTGGAGACTCAGCAGGACGTGGGCGTGGCCAAGGGTCCAGGGCCTCTCACAGTGGCACCAGGTGTCCCCAGGAGCGGCCAGCACTCAAGCTCACCTTCAGGGGCACCTGTGGGTGGCAGCCAGAGGTGAGCACCAGGCCTGGGCAGCTCCCAGACCCACACTGGCCCAGGCCACAGCAACGCAGCCACAGCCAGATGCGCTCTCCACTTGCAGGGACAGGCAGACACCACCTCACACCCACGCCCAGGCTTATACTGCGACCTGACCTGCCAGGGTCTCTGCAGCGGGCGGGCCGGCGGCCGGGCGGGGCAAGGTGCCCAACCTGTGCGGGTCACCTGGGGGCTGCTCCCTGGGGGGTCGGCCGCCCCGAGAGGTGCCAGTGTCCTGAATGCTGAGTGGACCCTGGACCACACTCAACAGCTCCCTCTCCATAGGGTGGGCACCCAGGCTGCAGCCCCAGCCACGGGGAGGACTACTAGTGGGGGGTTCCTAGGCTCCCATGGAAGAATGGCCCCCATGGTACCCTGACCAGTGTGGCTCAGCAGTTAGAGTGCTGGCCCAAGACTGAAGGGTAGGGGGTTGGGTTCCTGGTCAAGGGCATGTACCTGGGTTGCAGGTCAATCCCCGGCCCTGGTCAGGGTCATCGGGGAGGCAACTAATTGATGTGTCTCTCTCACAGGGCTGTTTCCCTCTCTCTCCCCCTTCCTCCTTGACTCTCAAAAAATCAGTGGAAAAACATCCTCGGGTGAGGATTAATTAAAACAAAAAAAGAAAAGCCCCCTATGCCTATACCTGCTGTAGGAATAAGCGTGGACACCCCAGAACCCACGGCACCTGACCCCGGCTGCCGTGTGGTGCTCCTTGACCCCATCATCACTGCCTACAGGAGAAGGTGGGGCCCAAGCAGGGCCCTAGGGACGGAGCGTGGCCGCAGCCCCCAGGGAAGACCGAGGAGGAGGCAGGGCCTCTCCCAGAAGAGTGGGGCTGCAGGGGGTCTCAGCCTCTCCTGCACCTCCTCCCTGCTGGCTCCCAGGTGCCCGTGGGCTGCAGCCCTCCGAGGGACAGGGACAGTGACAGGCAGCTCCTGTCCCACCCAGGTCCATCTGCACAGGCTCCGGGGACTCCTGCCCCCTCGTCCTCTCTCCCTCTTTCCCCCTGGGTTGAGGGAGCCCCTCTGAGAGGTGAACAGCCTGGAGCGGGGCTGGGCCCAAGCAGCACCTGAAGCAGGTGGGGGTGGCCCTGGGTGGAGATGTGGCAACGTTCCGCCCCCCCGCCCCCGAAGCCCCGAGGACGCCCACCAGGCAGAGGGGCCATGCCTGCCACCCAGGATAACTTGGCCCCTCAAAGGGCAGGTGGGAGAGGGCAGCCTGGGGGCCCAGGTGCTTCGGGCAGGGCCAGGGCCGGCCGTTCTGGCTCTGCTGCCCATGGGGAGAGGTGCTCTTTCTGCCCGGGGCCCCGCCCACCCTCACCTGCAGCTGCAGCTCCAGGGCCCTGACGTGCTGCAGGGACTCCATGGCCCCTCTGACGAGAGCTGGGGAAGGGAAGAAGGGGGGCAGCTTGAGCCCAGCGCCCAGCGCGCACCCACAGCCCCCACCGGCCGCAGCGCAGCACAGGCTTAAAGGCCCCTCAACTGTCCCAGCAGTGGAGCACCCACTTGAGGAGGCCCCACACGTCTCTCAGTCAGGCCTCCCCTGGCCCGCGGGCCTGGGCGGTGTGGGCAGGCGTCTGGCCAGGCCTCCAGCTCTCTGCCCAGAGGCTCCGGCGCCAGAGGCCGGCAGGAGGCCCCGTCCCCTGTGAAGGGCCAGGTGAAGGTTAGGCCTGCGGGGCAGCTTCAGGGCTGGTGGGCGGCCCCTCCGTGGGGTCACCATGGGGGGTTGTGCTCCGGCCCTGGGAAGGCAGCAGCCAGGTGGGGTCGGGTCAGCTGGGTTCAGGGTTCGCTGAGCTAGCTTACATCTTTAGTAAAGGAGACTTATCCAGGCTCCTGCGTTACCTGCCCTTTCATGCGGAGACTTGGACAGACACCAGGGAGCAGGCCGGGCTGCGGCTCTGTCCTCCGCTCCCCGCCCTGCCAGCACTGTTCGCGGGAGGACGTCCTGGCCTCCCTGAGGCCCCGGGGGCAGCGGCCCAGGCTTGGAGCCCACTGAGCCTCAGCCACAGGGCCTCTCAGACCATCAGGCCCGCCCTCCCAGGCCCCGTGGCGGAGGGGTCCACGGCCGAGCGCTGTTTGTGAGAGCTGCTGGCCAGGGCACGGTGACCACGGCACGAGGCGGGGAAGGGGCCTGAGAACCCGCCATGGGCAGATTCCGGGCCGGACGCAGGGACACGCTTTAACTCTTGGTGTCCTCGGGCTCACCTGCAAACTCGGGAATCTGTGCGTCTTCCACTTCAAACAGCAGCTCGTCATGAATCTGGGCGACCAGCCTGAAAGACACAGCCCAGGGGTCACCCTGCGACGGGAGCAGCCAGGACGCCAGCTCCGTCTGCCCAGCAAGGGCTTCGCGGGAGCTGCACCAAGGGGTTGGCGTCCTCCAAATTGTCAGAGAGAATGTGGCTTAGCGGGATGGGAGGACTGGGGGAGGGGGGATGCTGCTGCCTGGGTCACCTCACTGTCATCAGGACAGGCTCCAGGGAGGGGGGACACAGGTTAGAAGTGACTGGTGAGCAGAGGCCGAAGGCCCAGAGGGAGGGGCTGCCCTGACCAGGGAGCTTGGTGAGGGCACAGCTGGCTGGGAGTCCAAGCGGCAGCGTGAGAAGAGCTCCCCCGGACCACTGTGGGGTGTCAGCCCTGCCACGAGCGGAGGAGAAGGATCCCTGCGGACCACAGGTGTGGGGCCTGTGGTGAGGGCGAAGATGAGTTGGGAATGGGGTGGAGGGGCTGGGAGCACCCCTCATTTTGAAAACTAGCTTAGGGAAAGCTGATGGGAGGAAAAACCTTTGTTTTAAAATTTATTTCTGGCCCTGGCTGGTTTGGCTCAGCCTGGGCACCTCGCTGCAGCCCCATGGTCCCTGCCTGCAGCCTGGGCACCTCGCTGCAGCCCCATGGTCCCTGACTGGAGCCTGGGCACCTCGCTGCAGCCCCATGGTCCCTGACTGGAGCCTGGGCACCTCGCTGCAGCCCCGTGGTCCCTGCCTGCAGCCTGGGCACCTCGCTGCAGCCCCATGGTCCCTGACTGGAGCCTGGGCACCTCGCTGCAGCCCCATGGTCCCTGACTGGAGCCTGGGCACCTCGCTGCAGCCCCGTGGTCCCTGCCTGCAGCCTGGGCACCTCGCTGCAGCCCCGTGGTCCCTGCCTGCAGCCTGGGCACCTCGCTGCAGCCCCGTGGTCCCTGCCTGCAGCCTGGGCACCTCGCTGCAGCCCCGTGGTCCCTGACTGGAGCCTGGGCACCTCGCTGCAGCCCCATGGTCCCTGCCTGCAGCCTGGGCACCTCGCTGCAGCCCCATGGTCCCTGCCTGCAGCCTGGGCACCTCGCTGCAGCCCCATGGTCCCTGACTGGAGCCTGGGCACCTCGCTGCAGCCCCATGGTCCCTGACTGGAGCCTGGGCACCTCGCTGCAGCCCCATGGTCCCTGCCTGCAGCCTGGGCACCTCGCTGCAGCCCCATGGTCCCTGCCTGCAGCCTGGGCACCTTGCTGCAGCCCCATGGTCCCGCCTGCAGCCTGGGCACCTCGCTGCAGCCCCATGGTCCCTGACTGGAGCCTGGGCACCTCGCTGCAGCCCCATGGTCCCTGCCTGCAGCCTGGGCACCTCGCTGCAGCCCCATGGTCCCTGCCTGCAGCCCGGGCACCTCGCTGCAGCCTGTGCTGGTTCCTGAGCCTGAGGCCTGCCCTCTCTCTCTGGGCTCTGGGGCTGGGCTGAGCCCAGGGGAGATCCTCATGGGGAGGGGACCCCTGACAGCCCAGCACACCCCACCCTTCATCCACAGCCCCTCTAAGCCCCTCAGCATGCCCAAGAGGGGTGTCTGTCTCACCTGCCTCAGTAGGCAGAGGAAGCAAAAAGGGGGTTCAGATGCCAAATGGAAGGGCCTGTGGAAGGGGAGTCCATGCTATTTGGGCATCACACTGCCCAGGGGCAGGGGTCTCAGCAGGACCAAGATTCCTGATGGGCAGTGGGTGCCAAAGTATGCCCGGGCAGGGATGCAGTGACAGGGCCACCCCAGAGACAGGCTCCTGCAGCTCCAAGTCGCTGCACAAACACAACTGTGGTTGGATCGGCCCACTGTGGTGCCAGTCCTTGCACACTCTTCAGAAGGTGGGGTGCCTGCCCCTCCCTCAGGGGGGATGAGGTGCCTGCCCCTCCCTCAGGGGTGGAACAGCTGACTCAGGACAATCTAGAGGGTCTGCAGCCCTTGGGGAAGGGTGCTGGGTGTTGGGGGGTGTCCCGTGTGCTCTGCCCTGTGTGTGACCTGGGCTGTCTCTGGAGGGCAGGGGCCACACAACTCTGCCGCCCCCTACCTGTCCGGCAGGCTCAGCGCATGCAGGAAGGGGCTGAGGGCAGACCGCCCCATGTGGTGAAGCTGGGCGGCCCTGAGGAGGTGTGGGGAGGCTCAGGGACAGGGGTCGTCCTACTGGTGAGCCAAACGGGGAAGGGGCACTTCCTGTGGAAGACCCGCAGGGCTCCAGAGGCAGAGGTTGGGGGGCCCACCCCTTCCAGTCTTCCCGCTCTCCTCACTGGGTGGGGTGGGGTGGGGCTCTCTGACGGGCGGCTGCTGGCTGCGTGTCCCTCCGACGCCAGGGAGGCTCTATTGGCTGACTTGGCTGAGCGCAGGGACCCGTTTATGTTGTTAGTCCTCACCTGAGGATATCTTCCCATTGATTTTAGAGACAGTGGAAGGCAGGGAGAGAGAGAGAAACATTGATGTGAGAGTCACATCGATTGGTTGCCTCCTGCACTTGTCACCCATGTAAGTGCCCTTGACCGGAAATTGAACCTATGACCCTTCGGTGAGAGGGCTGACGCTCTAACTGCTGAGCACACTGCCGGGCCTCGGCACCCTCTGCCCATCACGCCTTTCTCCTTTGGCCTGCGGGCGCTGTGTGGCCGAAGCACCCCTCCAACAGGACACCAAGGAAAGGGGCAGAGAGCCCTTGTCCTGCTGCCCTGAACCCCAGGCAGCACCCGGGGTGCTCTGGACTTCTCAGGATGGGAGAAACATCCCCCTTTGGAGTCTGAGCTGCTGGCGCTGGGCCTGTGTTCAGCGGGGAGAGCACACGCCATGGGAGCGTCCTCAGGCCGGTGCTGCGGGCACACCCTTCCAGGAGCCCGACCCGGCGGGCAGCCCTGGTCTCGCCCTCTCATTGATCTCGAGGCCTCTGGTGGGATCTTCGGTTCCCTCGGGGACTTGGTTTTCAAGGGGGCAGAAGCCGGCACAGGTACCTGAAAGTCCCTGCAGATGGCTGCGTGGTTCACACTTCCCGAAATTGCATGTGAGGTTTTGCGTGTTGGTGCAGCACCCCAAGAATAGGGTGGAACCGCTAGTCACTCACACACCCTCCCGCCGGCTGTGACATCACCGCACTTCTAACTGGAAATGGGGACACAGGGAGGAGCAGAGGCGCGTGGTGTGGGGCAGGACACAGGTCTCAGGTCCGCTGCTTCGGAGGTGGGCTGATTGCGGGGGTGACTTCCACCCCACGGCCCTGCCCCGGGATGATGAAACTGAGGCTGTGCAGAGCCGCCCCAGGGGGGGACACTCCCGAAGAGCCTCGCCTCGTCTCCCCGTCTGTGGCTGCTCAGGGCAGCTCCCTCCTGGACCCCGAGTCCCTGTGTGCTTGTCAAGCTCAGGCCTGTAACTGCTGAGTCCCTCCTGCCGCGTCCCCTGTCCACCCTCCAGAGCGGACCCTGGAGCTGTTGCGGACTCTCCACCTACTGCCCTTTCTTCCGGGAAAGTCCAGATCTGGCCGCCGCAGTCCTTTGAGGCCGCTCCTCACTGCTTGGCTGGTCCTCCTGCCTCCCCTGGGCCCCTTTGGAGGCCAAGAGAGTGAGTGTCCCGTGATGCTGGGCCACAGGGTGCCCTTGGGTGCTGCATGGGGAGGTGGCAGAGGTCAGAAGGCTGTGCAGGTGGGGGCAGACGAGCCACCTTCCACAGCGCGCGCACCTGCTGTCCTGCACCCCAGGGAGAGATGTGTCCTCGGGGGGCTGCTGCCAAGGCTGGGAGTCAGGCAGGGCTCCTGGTCCCCCCTCAGAGGCAGGGCAAGGGAAGGCTGCAGCTGCAGGTGGGGAGGCCCCGGGCTGGTCCAGCTGTGAGGATGTGGACATGCTGGGTCATGCTCTGAGCCTCAGTTTCCCTTCTCTTTACTCAGGCTCTGGGGCCGACAGCCTCTGCAGCTTCTTTCCAGCTCTGCCATGTTTGACACCCAGAAAGCCTCTTCCACAGAGGCCCCACATCCACAGAGGCCCCACGTCCACAGAGGCCTCATATCCACGGAGGCCCTGTATCCACCAAAGCTGACAGTTGAGCCGGTCGGGGTGGAGCTCCCCCAACCTTCTACTTCGGGTCTGTGGGCTTGAGTGGGACTGTCCTGTGGCTGCGACCCATGGGGCACTCAAGGCCACTGGACGAGGCTCTGGGGGTGTCTGCTGCACGACCACAAGCCTCCCAGGAACCTATTTCACTCACGCTGCTGCCGGCAGACAGCTCCCACGCAGCCCACTCCCTCTAGACACAGCCCAGGACCTTCTGTCTCCGGGAAGAACAGGCCACGTTAGGAAGCAGCATGAAAGCTGCCGTCCCACACGACCTGCTTGGAACCCTGAGCAACGCGGCGCCTTTCGTTACGGAAAGTCTTCCCTGAGGACAGTGCAGGGCCCGTGACAGAGAGATGACCAGCAGGGCTGTTACGTTTGGGTAAGGATTGTTCATGCTCACCCCAGAACTCTGTCACCCAAAAGGCCCAAACCCCCACACACCAGCTTCCGTCATTGGTCCCACAGAAACCAAGCACCGGCCAGGCTGGCTCCCGCTGCACAGGGTGGAGCGACCTGCGGGACAGGGAGCCACACAGGCATCTGCCCTCCCCAAACTCACCCCGGAAGGACAGCCAGCAGATGCACGGGCTGAGGAGCGGAGCGGAAAGCCCCACGGAAGCCTGGACGCAGGCGGCAGCGGGAGTGGAGGGAGGGTCTCAGAGAGAGGAGAGCGTTTATATTCTGCCCCTGCCTCCTGCCTCCTGCCTCCTGCCTCCCCAGGCCCCGCAGAGATCAGAGAAGCAGCCCAGACTGTGCGCAGGGACCAGCAGGGGCTGGGGTCTGGGCATCTGGCCCAGCCTGCCCCAGGCCTGGGATGACAGCCCAGGCTGCTTCTCCCGGGGGAAGGCGGAGAGGGACAGAGGGTGTGAGGGGTGGCGGGCGGTGGCTCTGCGAGGCTTGGGCTCCCCTCCCCTCTGGACCAGGAGGCCGCTCCACCCTCCAGGTGGCCTTTGCCTGGTACACACGTCGGTACAAAGTTGCTAAAACTGCCAAAGGAACATAGGCTCAAAGGCCAAAATGAACAGTAGAAAATATCTGAAGAAATAAGGAAAGGGCTTTTTAAAGAGAGATGAAAGGTTTCGGGTAAGGACACAACAGGGCTGGAGAACGCGAAATAATGTCAGCGGCCGAGCAGCCCAGAGGGAGAAAGCAGCCGCAGGCGAGCGGGTCCCTCAGGGTGGCAGGAGGAGCCCTGCCTCGGGGTGGGGCCGGTGAGACCACAAGACATTTCACCAGCACAGAGGCTGCCGCCTAACCCGCCGGGAGGCCCCTGGGCAGTGGACACGCTAACCAGCTGCGGGGGCTCTTGGGCAGGGACAGGCCCACTCTGGCGAGTGTACTTGGGGACTAAGGAGGAGGGGAGCCAGACCTCCTGCGGTCTGACATGCTCACTTGTCACCAGCTCCCTGGTCGCTCAGGGTGTGCACCCAGCAGGAGTGACTGCAGCAGAGGCAGACCAGAGCAGTGGCCCAGCAGCCAGCGGAGCCCCGTCCGAGGCGGGTTGGAAGGCTGGTTCAGGGGCAGGGCTGGCAGCACAGCTGGGCGCCGCACACCCACTGAAGTGGGGGCAGCAGTGGGGCAGAGGTGGGGCAGCGTGCCCTGTCCGAGGAGCGGACCGGCAGCTGCTGTGCCTGAAGGAGCTTAGAAGCTCCTAGGCAGGGGCCTGGGGAGACACGTTTCTGAACCAGGTGATCCTCGAGAGACCGCACGGTGCTAAGGGTGAGGGCCTGCGGTCACCATGTGCTGCTGTGAGCAGGCCCTCGGGTGCTTGGCTCAGCCCCGGTCAGGAGAAGGGCCCTCCCAGGAGTGCTGAGAGGGGCTCGGACTCCAAGGAGTCTTTTGGCCTGGGGGGCGGTGCTCTTGTTGGAACCATGACCCAGACCCATGGTGGCGGGAAGCCTGGGCCGTGTGCATGTGGGCCAGCTACAGAGCAGCAGGCTCAGGAAGGGCCGGTGCACGCGCCAGGCACTGGCCACTCACTCACTGACCTGGCCGTCAGGGTGGGGGAAGTGGCCACCGCTGCGAAGATGTGGATCATGGCCATCTTACAGAGGTCGGCCGCCGAGCCTGTGGGCACAAAGGGTTCTGTCTCACTAACACGGTGCAGCCCGGCCAGCCGGCCTAGTTTCCCAGGCCATGTAGTGCACGACCCCACAGAAACCCAGACCCACCACCTCATGGCTCCCGCATGCTGGGAGCCCAACATGTATGCTGGGTCCCCCGAGTGGGTCAGGCTGAGATTAGGTGAGACTCGCTGTGTCCTTATCAAGATGCTCAACTAGGGGAGACCCACTTCCAAGTGACCTCAGGTGGCTGGAAAATTTCACGTCCTTGCGGCTGAGTGACCGAGGCTCCTGTTTCTGTGCTGGCGGTTGGCCGAGGGCACTGGGCTCCTGGAGGCCACCCTAGGTCACTGCGGTGGGCACACCAGCAGGCAGTTTGTTCCTTCACGGCCAGCGGGGGCACCTGCTGCTGTCAGTCTCTGGCTCTGACCCTGAACACTTCTGGCGAGGGCAACCTGCCCTCTTTGCCATGTAACATGGTCTACTCAAGTCATGATGTCTCAGCACGTGCACAAGTCTTGCCCACACTTGGGGCATGCACACGGGGTAGACACTAGACTTGTCCGTCACACCAGCTGACAAAGTGACCATGTGCGATGTGGCTGGACCCCAGTTCCCACCACCCTCTGTCTGCGCGGTCTTTCAGTCTCCCGGGGCCTCAGTGCACAGAGTGGGGCTGTGAGGCACCGTCTGGATCTGGGGGAGCCACATGGTCAGGTGAGCATTCACCCCTCCGATGCTGTGTCAGGACCTGGCCAAATACTGGCCAAGGTAGGGGACAGGCCTAGCTCAGTGCCAGGTGTATAGTGGGTGTCTTAACTGGTCTAGTCATGGGAAATGGACCAAAGTTCAGGCTTCCAGTGGTGGTCCCAAGGCAGTGCCCTCAGAACAGACTTGTTTATCCCCCATGAGCATGGCAGGAATGCTGGACAGGGAAGCCTGGTCTCTGAGGCTGACCTGCTGGCCATGCGGGGTCTCAGGGCCATTGGAACCCTCTGCAGGGGTGGGATGTCAGGACACTTGCTACTTTAGGAGAAGTGCACAGAACTGGAGAAGAGGAGGGGAAGCGGGGGGAGAGAATAGTGTGGGTGAAGGGGAGACCCAGCAGGGAAGGGTGCCATGGCTGGCAGGCTGCCGTGTCCACCCTTGTGGAGGCAGAACTTTCCTGCGGGCACTGGCCACTGCTCATTCCAGGCACCTACCCAGCTCAGCCAGATGTTTGCTAAGCGGATGACTCGGCAGGAGGTGGCTCCACCGGGAAACAGTGGCAGCTCGATTCCATGGCCAAGCCTCCTCCTCAGCTTCTCAGGTGAAGATCTTTTATATGCAGTTCTTTCTGGAAGGACTCTCCCCAACTGCTTCAGCAACACCCTGCACACCCCTAGTGCACACACCTTGCAACACCCTGCTCCCACCTAGTGAACTCACCTTGCAACACCCTGCACCCACTTAGTGAACTTACCTTGCAACACCCTGCTCCCACCTAGTGCACACACCTTACAACACTGTGCACACACCTTACAACACCCTGCACCCACCTAGTGAACTCACCTTGCAACACCCTGCACCCACCTAGTGCACACACCTTGCAACACTGTGCACACACCTTACAAAACCCTGCACCCACCTAGTGAACTCACCTTGCAACACCCTGCACCCACCTAGTGAACTCACCTTGCAACACCCTGCACCCACCTAGTGAACTCACCTTGCAACACCCTGCACCCACCTAGTGAACTCACCTTGCAACACCCTGCACCCACCTAGTGCACACACCTTGCAACACCCTGCACTCACCTTGCAACACCCTGCACACACCTAGTGAACTCACCTTGCAACACCCTGCACCCACCTAGTGCACACACCTTGCAACACCCTGCACTCACCTTGCAACACCCTGCACACACCTAGTGCACACACCTTGCAACATCCTGCACCCACCTAGTGAACTCACCTTGCAACACCCTGCACACACCTAGTGCACACACCTTGCAACACCCTGCACACATCTAGTGAACTCACCCTGCAACACCCTGCACCCACCTAGTGCACACACCTTGCGACACCCTGCAAACACCTAGTGAACAGAGACACGTGGTCATGACTTGACAGCTTCCTTATACATGAGCACCTGGCTCAGGATCTGAGCCATTGCAGAATGTGGAGGGCTATCACCATCCTCAGGGTGGTCACGCTGGGGGACAGGACTTGGGAAGACTCTATACTGAGCCCAGACCAGATCCTAGCAGTTGTCCCACCAACTGCTGCCATCTCTCCTGTTCTTGAGACTATGTCAGGGGCTGAGCCCGAGCTGAGCAGCACTGCCCCGAGGGTCTCTCTGCAGGATTCGCTGGGGACTTGACCTTTGTCCTCCACATCTGTTGGGGTCCCACCCTCTTGCTGTAGAACAGCCCTCTGGGATAGGCTGGTGCAGCAGGCACCCTGGGGCTGGAACTCTACCTCCAGGTGCCTTCCCTGGGCCCTGCGACCTGGGCTCTCATCTGTGGCCCATGGAGTCCTCAGTGAGGATGACTGACTCCCAGGGCACCCTGAGGCCATGTGTGGACAACTCACTGCACATGGTGTGTGAAGCCCATAATCACATCCCTCTCACTTCACCTCCGTGCAGAGACATGAGCTGTCTGTATGCTGTGACTAAAGATGAATATGGAGTTTTCATAGCCAGAGGCAAACAGTGTGACATCACCACCAGCCTGCCTCCTGCTACAGGTGCTGGGCTACAGATGGGTGCTGGGGGCTGTGGGTGTTGGGGCATGCTGTGTTTGGACGCCGTACTCAAGCTGTTACACCTGCCAGGCAGGAGGGTACAACAGAGTCCCAGGCCCAGGGTCCAGGGACTGAGCCCCAGGCCTGGCTGGCTGGACAAACCAGGACCTCAGCTCCCCTTCTGCAGACGCAGGGATAGCCGGCTCCAGGCCCTTTTCAGGGGAAATGAACTAGAAAGACCATCCCATGCTGAGCACCTCTCACCTTCGGGCAGATTCCACTATGCCCCTGCCAGTACCTGCCAGGGAGGACAGGGGCAGGGAATACGGGGACCACACCTGGTGGGTGACGCCCAGCCCTGCTGTCCTTAAAAATCTGGGAGGTGAACGGGCCCACCAGGCGAGCGGAGGGCTCCAGGTACCTTGCACCACGAAGTTCACTGCCTGCCGCTCTGCTTGTGCCCGGAGCTGCTGGTCCCGTTCGTGGATCCCTGGTAGTGGCCTCCTCCTGCCCATAATGGATGTCACGTAGCCTGGTCACACGAAGGACAGGATGAGGGGTAGAAGCAGACAGGCAGAGTGGTGCCCTGGTGGGAACGGCTCCCTTAGACTCGGGCCAGCAGCCCAGCAGGACCCTTGAGCCAGAGTGGCACTGGGAGGTTGGCCCAGAGGTCCCCGGGTCTGTCGCTAGGTCAGCAGGTTCTGTGGTGGCAGCAGGGAGGCCGTTGCTGTCCACTTGCCCAGTGACACATTTCCGCACACCCTTCACAGGCGGTTCCAGAAAGGGCGCCACTGTCCAATGCCCCTGGCTGCCCCTGGCCTCTCGTCCGGGGTCAGGTCCCTCCTCCTCCCGAGGTGGCTGACAGTGCTGTCCAGGGGCCCTGGCCACTGCAGAAAGCTCAGCGCCCTGTTCGTTTCTTTCACACCTAGGCCCCATCTTTCTGACACTGATGGAATGTACTTGCTTACCCGTGGGCACCTATCTGCCCTGGATGGTAGCTCCGGGAGACCCGGGAATGCGTATTCCTGCCAACAACACAGGGTAGGCACCCAACAAACATAACACCCTGCACCCCTTCAAGAAAGTGATGTCCACGGAAGGGAGGGCTCTGGCTCTGGGTCACAGCCCAGCACCACCTAGCTGTTAGCTGTGGAGAGGGCATGCCGACACCACCTCTTGCTAGTGCTGCAGTGAGCACTATGTGAGTTAATTTATGGCAAGCCGCCGACCTTGTGCCTGGCCCCCAGGTAGCATGGCACAGTGCCTGTGTTTATGTTGTATTTCTGTCTGCAGTGATCCTCACTGACACTGGGTTCTGTCACTATTTTAACATTTCAAAATTAATAGTGCTTTATTTTTCTCAAGTGTGGGGTTCCTGGGTCTAAGGATGGTCAGGGCTTGTGTGGCTTCATGGAGGCCACAGACAGCTGCAGATGGAGGCTGAGGCCTTGCAGACCTCTGTGGGACTCCCCTGGCCCAGGGGGCCTACGGCCTGCCCTGCTGGGCGCGCATGGGGTCTCCTGCCGGGCTGGCGACGCACACGCACTCAGGTCCAGGAGGAGCTGTGCAGGGGCCTGGAGAGCATGGTCATCAGCAGCCCCTGGGGAGGCCGGGAAGCCGGATGCGGAGAGAACATGCTAGAGCCACTCAGGAAGGCGGGGCTCGCGAGGCTGCTGCTCCCACCGATGCCAAGTGGGCGCTGAGCTGTCTGCTTCCTCCGCACCCCGTCAACCTCTTTTCTGTGCCTATGTCATGAATTTCTGCTCTTACATTTACTTCCTTCTTTCTTCAATTTACTCTCCCACTCTTTTCCAAACGTCTTGTGCTGAATACAAACCATTGTGTTCACAACTTCTTTCTAAAAACACTCTTTTAAAGTATTCCTTCACCTTTAAGTGAAGGGTCAGCTTGGCCATGTCTCAGTTTCTCGTACAATTTTACTGTCACTTACTTCTAAAACGTCTGTGATTTTACTGGGACTGCTTTGTTAATCCTAGACCGTTTAGGAGTACAGTGAATTTCCAAATAAGTAGACGGACAAATGACCACACTAACAGATGATATAAAACTACCTTTTTATCCCATTGTGGTCACAGAACATGTTCTAGTTGATATTCTTTGAAATGTGTGGCCAAATAAATTATGGTGAAATTTTATAAATGTATCACGTGTTTCTCATAAGAACAATGTTCTCTTTCCATTTTTAGGTGCAGGATGTTATTTCTCTGTTTATCCATTTATCATTTTCTAACTCAAACTTGTTAATTTTGTTGCCTCAAGCAGAGTCTGGCTCCGGACTCTTGTCAGGCAGAGCCTTTTGGTCCCATTTATATTGCAGGGGCTGGACACTCACCCAGTCCCCATCCACCCCGACTCCACCCATCCACCCACCACCCTCCCATCTGTCCAGTCGCTCATCGGAGGAGCAGGGCCCAGAGGCCACCCAGCTGCTGCAGGTCAGGCATGGGAGAAGGGGCGGGGGACCTGCCAATGCTCTGGCTGCTGCTGGCTCACCTGTCTGGTGACACTGGGCAATGGTTGCTTGGGCAAAGTCCTTGATTTTCCTATACTTCTGCAAAAAACTCTCCAAAAACCGGGAGGCTTCCTGAACAGAAACTCCAAGGCAAGCAGCAAGACGCTCCTTCCCTGTACGAGCAGAAACACCAAGATCAGCGGCAGCCATGACCCGCACACGGCAGGGACGAGAGCAGGAGCCACCAGGCAGGGACCGCCGCGCACACAGGTGAGCCAACAGGAGGGCTCTCGGGGACGGGGACGTGGTGAATGCGAGTCCAGGTGGCACCACTGGTCTCTTGATTGGTCAGGACGGTGTTGGCTTTTGGCTTTACAACTGAGTGCGAGGTGCTGGTCGTGGTGAACAGCGTTTGCTCGGCAGGACTGGCTGAGCAGTCCGCACTCGGCCGGCTGGGCTGCGGGGAGCCGCCCTGCTCCTGGGGAAGAGAGGGGCCCAGGAGCTCCCTCCTTGCTCCCTCCTTGCAGGTGGCACTGTGAGGCAGACACGCTGGTCCCGACCCCTCTTTGGTTCCTAGGGGATGCAGGTGTTCTTGTGAAGCTTCTCATAGCAAGGTCTATGGTCGGAGCAGCACCCCAAGTTCCAGGATGGCACCCTAAGTTCTAGCACAGCTTGCTGGATACAGGCGCTGGGGCCACACAGACCTGGGTCAGAGCCCAGCTCCCTCACTGTGGGAGGTTCTGAGTGGCCTTGGAGAAGTTATCTGACCTGCAGTAAGCCCCAATTTTTCACCTGTGACTAGGAACTCTAGTCCTTGCCCCCAAGAGTTATTAGGGGGACCCCCTGAGCAGAGGCAGGTAAAGCTCCGAGCAGACTGGCCCCTACTTGGTAGTCAGTGTGGAGTCATTCTCTCCTATTTTCCTCCAGAAGAGAAGGGTTACATTCTTATTTATTGATGAATTTCTTTCTTTCTTTCTTTCTTTCTTTCTTTCTTTCTTTCTTTCTTTCTTTCTTTCTTTCTTTCTTTCTTTCTTTTTTATCCTCATCTGAGGACATTTTTCCATTTTTTGTACAGAGTGGGAGGGAGAGAGAGGGAAACATCGATGTGAAAGGGACACATCGAGTGGTTGCCTCCCGCACGACCAACCAGGGCTGGGGACAAACTGCAACCGAGGTACGTGCCCTTAGCGGGAACCGAACCCCGGTCTCTCCGGACCGCAGGCGGACGCTCTAACCGCTGAGCTAAACCGGCCAGGGCTATTGATGAATTTCTTTAGAGAAAGAGAGAGGAGGGCAGGTGGAGGGAGAGAGGGAGAGAGAAGGTCAGTTTGTCGTCTCGCTTACTGAGGCATTCATTCATTGGTTGCTCCCTGCAGGTGCCCTGACCTGGGGTGAAACCTGCACCTTGGTGCGTGGGGATAATGCTGACTAAGCTTATCTGGCCAGGGCCCAGAAAGAAGACTTTACATGGAGAACGAGGAGCTCATGAGGACAGATGTGGGAGCCTCGCTGGACAACGGGGTTATGGGTAAAGCCTGGGGCTCCAGGGTCTACAGCATTGGAGGGAGCCCCAGAGAAACAAGTGGCTGAAGACCTGAATCCTGGGAACATGACTGGAGCCAGGAGTGGGCCTGCTGCCTCTACACAGGGTCAACTCTGGGGTCACACTGGAGGGTACCCCAAGGGGCCTTCAGAGCCACAGCCTGGCTTGGAGGTATGAAGACCGGAGGAGACTTGGAAGGAGCGAGCCTGACTGCCCTCCCTGACCAGCCTCCCTTCAGCCCGGCCGCTGGCCCTGGCTAGCTGGCGTGTTCAGAGGTGCTGGACTGAGTGTTTACATCGTGGGAGAGGGAAGGGGCAGGGAGGAGCAGGGAAGGCCGGGGTGCCCTGTGCTTCCCATAGTTCCTCCCGGAAGAGAGATTTTTGGGGCTCTGGGTCCTTCCTCTCTGCTCAGGCCTGCCCCACTCTCCATGTGGCTGGGCGTGAAAACGCTCCGATTTCCCTCCTAGGGCTCAATGTGGAGCATGTACTAGCTTCGCGGACACACTGTGGGGGAATGACCATCGACAGCTCTGTCCTGTGATGCTGCAGCCGCGGCCCTCAGCCACGGCCCTCAGTGGAGAACGCCGCTGCTTCCAGGAAAGGGTCAGATGTGCCCAGGTGCTCTAGACAGGTCTGGCCAGGTGGGACCTCAGTCTCAGCCAAACCCTTTCTCATGTCTGATCCGCTGTTGAGCCTGGTCAGTGAACTTCCTTATTTGTGATATTGCAGTTTTCAGTTTTAGAATTTCAATTTGGTTCTTTTGATTCTCTGAGATTTCCTAATTCTCATTAATCATGAGCATCTTCCCTTAGATTCTTCGTGGAGCACAGTTGTTCTAGTGGCTTCAAAACCCTTGTCTGCTGCTCCCGAGCTCTGGGCCATCGCAGGACCTGCTTCCGCGACTGCCTCTCCCTTGACTCTGGATCCAGCTTCTTCCTGTGCCAGTCATCTGGGTTGTATCCTGGATACCGTGACCGACATGCTGTAGACATTCACGGTTCTGTTATATTTTTCTCAGGAGTACTGATGATTTTTAAAGGGGGCAGTTAACTTGGTGAAAGTTAAACTTTAAACTTTGCCCCTCTGCATGGGCAGCAGCTGCCATCTCAGCTCCGTCCTTCCAGCCTTGGCTGGGCAGTGTGAGGCTGCCCGGGCACGAATCTTCAGGGCTCCGCCGCTCTGGGCAGAGCTCACGCGCGGAGTGTGGCGTGCCTCTTTGGCTCTTGTCTGAGGTTTCTCCCTTCACTTTCCAGAGTCTCTGGTTGCTCCGCACTCTGCCCCCTGGCTCTTCAAGCTGGTAAGAGTATGGATTTCCATCAGAGTTTTAGGCACCCCAAGCACCGGCTGAGGCTTGCCTCGAGGTGAGGAGCTACAAAACGGAAACTCACCCTGTACCTTCCCTCCAGGTGCCAGCCTACCTGCAGTTTCTGCTTTGGGTGTGTGTGTGCCAGTACCTTTAGGCAGCTGCTTATTACATTTTCCCGCACTTCATAGTTGGCATCTGTGAGACTGTGGGCTGAAGGAGGTCACACGCCTCCTCCTCAATCCCTGCGGATGAGAAGAGATTCCTCCCTTTCCTCTGCAGAGCTGTGGGACAGCTGAAGGGCAGAGGCTGGCCCAGGTCTCTGACCCTGAAGGAAGCCTGTCTCTAAGAGGAGCCGATGATGGGACGACTCCCACAGAGGCAGAGACAGACATGAAGGTGGCGCTCCAGTGTCCAGCCAGGCCTCCAGGCCCTGGGTTCTCGCTCCCCGCACCTCGTCAGCGGGCCTGTCAACTCCAAGGCCGCTGCCCACCCCACCCCCAGCAGGATGACTTCTGGCTCTGCGAGGGCTTCTTTTCCAGGCCTCATGTTCCCCGGCTCCTTCTCTTCAGATGGCTTTCCTCCACGGGTGGATTCAGTCGATCAGGTTTCTGCTGTTCACGTTGTAATCACATGCAGGCCTGTCTCCCCAAGAGTGAGGGTCCCCTGGGAGGAGCACAGGCGCTCCCCATGTCTGCAGCCCTGTATGAACACACGCTGGGACTCTTCCCACAGATGGTGCATTGCAGTGTGTGTGTGTGTGTGTGTGTGTGTGTGTGCGTGCGTGTGCGTGTGTGTGCTATAACTCATGTCTAAGAAGACAATTTCACCCCTTTTCCCCAAGTGCTCTTCCGCCGCACCACAGCCAGCAGTTCCTCACTCCTGTTGATAGGCTAGGGCCTAGCGAGACGCTGGCACACAGCGGGCCTCCAGGAATGCTGGCTGGTCCACCTGGAACAGACCGACTGACCCCTACACTTCCTTCAGAACTCACCCAGGTGCAGCTGCTCTGGGCGGTCGGCCCCCTCCCTGGGTCCCCGTGGCCCTGATGGCTCGGTGTGGGGCTCCGGCAGCCCTCTGGCAGCAGGCTCTGGCCTTCCCCCACGGTCCTCCTGGGGCCACGTGGAGCCTGAGGCATGGTGCACACTGGGTGAGCCTAGTGACCCACTGTGGCTGGCACGGAGGCAAACTGAAGAACCGTGGACAACTGGAGAAGGACTGAGTGTCAGACTGACCCTCGGAGCAGCAGGAGCTCCAGGCAAGGCCCAAGGCATCCCTCCTGGAGGAGGCGCCTCGCCATGGCCCGAGGGCTGTCAGTGGGCCGGGAGCACCGCTCGGTGGCAGGCGGCTGACCTCAGCGCGAGCCGTAGAAGCAGTGGCCCGAGTGGGCACTGCCATTTCTGGGGGGCCGCCCTCCTCTGGCAGAGGCCTCGGTCTGAGGGACATGTGGGGACCAGGCTGCCCACAGGCCGCAGGGGGCTACACAGATGTGGCTTCCCTCTGACTCCCCTGTTTATTTCCCAGGCCTGCTTCTTCTTCCTCTGTCTTTTTAAAAAAATGTATTTGTATTGCTTTTTAGAGAGAGGGAGGGAGAGGGAGAGAAAGAGAAACACCGACCTGCCTGCCTGCCTGCCCTCAGGAAGGAGCTCACAACCCTGGCATGTGCCCGGTCTCGGAATCAGACTGGCAACCTTTCAGTGCCCAGGACGATGCCAACCACCCGAGCCACAGGAGCCAGGGCTTTTGTGCTGTCTGTCATCGTGGTCCTCCCAAGGACCGAGCACAACTGCGCAGGCTTCCGCCATGTGCCCCAGCGGCCAGGGCTGCGGCTTGCAGACCCTCAGAGGCATGTCTGTGTGAGAACCCAGCACTGCAACCCACCAAAGTGGCTGGTTGAAAGCCCTGAGCTGAACTTCCAAAGGAGGGGCCACCCAGGGCACTGCCACGCCCACAGACGGGGCAGGAGCACCTGGGACGAGGACCGAGGACCAGAGCAGACAGGGCGGGAGCTCAGACACAGATGCACCGAAAGCGGCTGTCGAGCTGAACAAGGGGAACAGCAGGAACGGAGGCTTGGGGTGGGAATCCTGTCACTGTCAGGCCTAAAGCAGCCAAATCGCCCGTCTCACCGACATCGCGGCTGACGACTCCCTGCTTGTCTGCGAAGCAGAGCTCTTCCCTCCCCAGAGAAGCAGGGAGCCGTCCGGACTCCCGCGCTGGCCGAGGTGCTGTGGGAGCAGCGGGCGCCCTGCTGTCCTCAGGGAGCCCTCACCTCCTGGCCTCTCTCCCACTTGATCTGGGGCGGCAGCCCCAACCCCACCGCGCAGCAGCACGGGGTGCCCTGGCCCAGCGCTGAACTGAAGGAGGACCAGGTGCAGGTGCTGCTACAACCCTCCCTGCACACCACCCGGGTGGGGCAGGGGCACAGAGGTGGAGGGCCTCGCCCAATGTCAGGACGCCTGCCAGGCTGCCTGGCTGGGGAAGAGGAAGAAGTGTCCGGCCCTGGCCGGTTTGGCTCAGCGGTTGGAGCGTCCGCCTGCGGTCTGGAGAGACCCGGGTTCGGTTCCCACTAAGGGCACGTACCTCGGTTGCAGTTTGTCCCCGGCCCTGGTTGGTCATGCGGGTGGCGGCCACTCGATGTGTCCCTTTCACATCGATGTTTCCCTCTCTCTCTCTTCCTCTCTCTCCCTCCCACTCTATCTGTACAAAAAAAAAAAAAAAAGAAGTGTCCGCTGGCAGAGCCAAAGCCATGGTGCACCTATGTCACATGACTCTGGGCCAGGCCGCAGGCACCGAAATCTCCTACAGAGAGGAGGACGGCTCAGAGGCACAGGAGCCAGGAGGCCTGGAGCAGACCCGCTGAGCAGCAGCCCAGTGTCACCCCCCTGCCACCCACCCAATTCAGTTGCTTAGTCTGTTCCCCAAAACTGTGTACGCAGAACGTTCTCATGCAGGGCAGAAGCCTCCAATTGGGCCTTCCCTCAGCAGTGGCTGGCCTGCAGGGGGCGGGGCCGCTGAGCCCACGCTCTGGAGGGAGGAGGCAGCAGCAAGTCCAGCACCGAGTGGGGTGGGGTGGCTTCGAAATGGGGAGCATGGCCTCCACGATGCTGCTCCTGGTCTTCGCAGCCTCCTGTGACCCCTCGCCTGGAGGGCGTGCAGACCTGCCCTGCTGTGGACCACAGGGCAAGCAGGTGCCAGCGACAGCCTCGCGAGGAGCGCGGACTGTGCTGCGCGTGGCTCCCTCCCTTGCAGGCTGAGGAAGAGGCCCGTGCTGTAGACTCTGCCTAGTGGGGAGGCCCACACGGCAACAACTGGAGGCTTGTGAATGCTCCCTGCAGTGGAGCCTCCCCTGAGACCAGAGCCCCGCTCACACCCTGACTGCAGCCCCCCGAGGACGAGCAGGCTGTGCCTGGACTCCGGCCCACACAGCCGGTGAGATGACAGATGGGTAGTCACACTGCTCAGAGAAGGCTGAGAGGGGACAGTGAGGGTGAGCTCTGTGGACACTGGGGCGAGGGTTCCAGCAGAGGGACAGCTGGGAGGGCCCTGCAGTGGAGCCGGCCCCGCTGGTTTGAGGTGGGTTCCAGACCCGTCACAGCAGCCCCCTAAGGCCCGGAAGAGGCTGCTGCAGGCACACGGTGGCCCTCGCGCCTCATCTATTCTTGCAGCAGACACTGGGTCGGTTCTGTGGTGCGGAGGCCACTCTCCCCAGCGTCTGCAGAAGCCCCGCTGCTTGGGGCAGAGCTGACCAGAGGAGGAGGAGCTCCACAGGCCTGGCCCAAAGCCATAGGGGTCCTTCCTGAAGGAGGGGCCAGCCACAGGCTCTCTGACTCTCTCTTGCCCTCCTCAGGGGACTCAGTCCCACTGATCCAGCAGGACCAGGAAGGAGAAAGGGATCTGAGCAGCCCAAACAGCTCTGGTCAGAAAGTCAAAGGGAGAGGGAGGGAGGGAGAGTGAAAGGGAGCTGGGCTGGGCCTGGGGCTGGGAAAGGAGTGGGGGTTGGGGGAGGGGCCTCCTTGACCAACTCAAGGCACAGAAAGGGCCCAGCGTAGCTGTGGGCCCTGCAACCGCCTCCCGCAGGCTGACCGTGGTGGACAGTCACTTCGGGCCTGCTCCCTATTCTGCAAGGCCGGCGTGAGCGCTGAGCGAGCTAGGGCTGTGCGTGGTCCGACTGGTGGCTGGTGTGTGTCAGGACACACAGGGACTCGCTGGAGACGCCTTCTCGAGGGCACGGCCACCTGGGAACGCAGGCCACGCCCAGAGCCGGGCCTACCTGCTCCGTACACCACAGAGTACACCACCTTCTTGGTCTGCTCTCTGTCTGTGTGCGTCACACGTTCTGCGGGGATGTCCTTCCTGTGGGGAAAGAGGGCACGCAGTCAGGAACATTGGCACCCTGTCTGCTGAGGGCCCTGCCAGTCCAGACCACATGCACCCCCACATGCTTCCTCTGGCGGTTCTCGACCATTTCAAGGCCAGCCTGTCACCCAGGCCGGGAGACAGTCCACCTTGGCAGCAGCATCTCAGCACGAGCCCTCCACACAGATGTTGCCTTTAAGCCAAATTCCTGGGTGTCCACAAACCAAACCAAAAAGTGTGTTCGCCAAGGAGTGCCAGCCCAGCCAGGGGAAGAACTACGCCCAGGGCGAGCCCCATCCAGAGCTAAAACCCTCAGACAGAATAGGGATCCACTCAGCGTCTGACTGGTAAAGGAGCCTGTCCCAAGCTCTGTGATTGGCTCTGGGTGGGTACTTCCGTGCTCAGCCAGGCTGTTGACCACACTGCCCCAGCCCTCGCTTCCAGCTGGCCCTGAGCCCAGCCATCAGCCCGAGTGAAAGCGCAGGGTCTTCTCAGGGCTTGTCGGAGTGTGAGAGCGGCCCTGGGTGTGCATGGGGTGTCCCAGCAGCCCCGGGCCTTTGAAGGCTCCTGTCCCTGAGCCTGGGCCGGCTCCCAGCTTCCAGGCTCTGCCACTCGCACTGCAGGGTTCTGCCAGGCTGCCCCTCCTGCCCCGAAGAGAGTTCCCAGTCAGGTGAACCGCCTGTGTCAGTCATGAGGGCCAGGCACCTTGGAACCCACCAACGCGATTCTGTGGGAGTAGGTCGGCGGCTCCCCCTGGAACCAGGGACCAGGGACCAGGGTCCGGGCTGGGCCTGGGCTGTAGAGTCGGAGGGCAAGGCAAGTGAAAAGGTCACAGGCTCTCCTACAGCATCTGCTCTGAGGCTGTGAGCTCTTGCCTGCTGCCCAGAGCTCAGGTCCAGCAGGCTCTGACCGGCTGCTTGACTCTGGTGTCCCTGGGGTCAGGCCCGCGGAGCGGTCTGCTTCACCGTTCTCACAGGTGTCCCTTCTTGCACTCATCTCCTACCTGATTTCCGAGCACCAATGCATTGCTCTCTTTTTTGTCCTGCTGTTAGGCTGTTTTGCCTACTTGTTTCCCTCACCCTTAAACTTGGTGTTGTTAACAGCTGCATTAATTTATTTAAAAAAATTTTGTTCTTTATTGATTTTAAAGAGACAGGAAGGGAGAAAGAGATAGAAACATCGATGAGAGAGAACATCAACTGGCTACCTCCTGCATGCCCCCCACTGGGGATCAGGCCTACAACTTGGGCACATGCCCTGACTGGGAATCGAACTGGCGACCTCTTGATGCATGGGTCGATGCTCAACCACTGAGCCACAGTGGCCGGGCATTAACAGCTGTATGTAGATAAGAAACAAAACACCAAAATGCACCCATGCGCAGAACAAACATGCGCCAAGCAGCAGCCCCCTGGCTTCCCACCTACTGGAAATCCCACAGGTGCTCCAAGCCCGCTCAGGAGACAATGCTGATACATCGTGAGGACTGGCTTCCCCGGCTCCTGCCCAGGGCCACCCACAATGAAGCAGGTGATGCCTCGGCTCTGACACTCGGATCTGTGGACAGCTGCGGGGGCGGGGGCATTTCGAGCAGGGCGCCCTCAGCCGGACCACAGGGGCGCTCCTCAGTGCCGGGGCGGGGCTGGGAAGCCGGCTGAGGGAGCAGTAGTGAGTGCTCCCAAGACCTGCTCCTCCCAGAGAGCCGCAGAGCAGCCCGCCACAGGACCAGGAGCCAGGTGCTGCGGACACATGTCGGACCCGTGCTCTGCGAACAGAGTGCCTTCTTCTTGGGCAACAGGGCTCATTCACAAGAACCCATCATACCCCAGGGTGCCCAGACAACATCGGAAGGTTGCACGTGTGGAAATGTCAAATAGCACTCGGATCACAGTCAAGCAACGAGGGACGGCTAACCAAGCAGCCTGGCCGGCTTGGCCCAGCAATGAGAACAGCTGGAGCGCTGGCCTGCAGACTGCAGAGCTGCGGCTTCAGTTCTGGCCAGAGGCACGTACCTGGGCTGCAGGTTTGATCCCTGGCCCTGGTCAGCGTTGTGTGGGAGGCAGCCAATCGATGCTTCTCTCTCACACTGATGTTTCTGTCTCCCTTCCTCCCTCCCTCCCTTCCACCCTATCTAAAAATCTATGGGAAAATATCCTCGGGTGAGGATTAACAACAAAAACAGCCCTGTCTGGTTTTGCTCAGTGGTTAGAGCAACAGCCTGCAGACCTAAGGGTCACAGGTTCAACTTTGGTCAAGGGCACGTACCTGGGTTGCAGGTTTGATCCCTGGCCCTGGTTAGGGTTTTGCAGGAGGCAAACAATCGATGCTTCTCTCTCACACAGGTGTTTCTCTCTCTCCCTCCCTCCCTCCCTCCCCTCCACCGTATCTAAAATTCAATGGAAAAATAACTTCTGGTGAGGATTAACAAAACAAAACAAAACAAAAACAAAAACAGCCCTCTATCTAGAGATAAGACAAAGGACACTTCTGGAAGTTACATAATCCATCCTGAAAACCGGTTCAGGGCCAATGGAACACGTTTACAGCAGTGGGGAAATTTCATAGCCCCAAACACCTATGTTGATAAAACTGAAAGAATGAAAGTATGTGAGTTAAGTTAGAACAACAACAAAGCAAATCAAAAGAATGCACGAGGGAGACAGAGAAGCCGGAATAAGATGAGAACAGACACGAATGAGGTAGAGAACAGCAAAACACTCGATGAAAAGAAGACATAAAATCCTGGTTCTGCAGAAAATGAAGGGAACAAGCCATGAGCCGTTTCAGCCAAAGGGAGCCAGTGCAGACACCAGACACACAAGGAGCAACAGGGACATGAGCACAGATGTGCAGGACGTTGTGAAAACCTTAGCCGTCATTCTGCACAACTCTAGGCAAGTGAATTTGAAAACCCAGATGAAAATGGATTATTTCTTAAGAAAACAGTGATAAACAGGAGACGTGAACATCGAACAAACCAATATCCATAGGCAAATACAGAAAATCACGAAGGAACTGCCCACAAGCAGGTCACCAGGCCCAGGTGGGTTCAAAGGGGAATTCTACGGACCTGTGAGACCAAGTACCCGTGCTGTACAAGTTGTTCCAGAAAACGAAGGTAATCTTCCAATTTATTTTTTTAAGCAAGTATAAGTTACACCAAGGCATGACAATGGGAGTGTAAGGAAGAAATCAGAGATCAACACCTCCTATGAATATCAACGGAGGTGATCATACTAAAAGAATGTAGGCGAACAGAGCTCAACACCACTTGAAGGGACAGTGCCCGTGACCAAGCAGAGTTTACACCAGAAGAGCATGGTTGGTTCATTGTTGAGAGATCTGCTAATATAATTCACCACACTACTGGGACTAAGGAGAAAAGTATATGATTGTCTACACAGTTGTTGGAAAGGAAAAAAACTATCTCAAAACTCAACACCCATTCCTAATAAAAACCCTTGAGAAAATAGGAGTAGTTGGACAAACTATGAAACAATACACCTCAACCTAAACCCAGCATCCTCCTCATGGGAAACACCGGGGGTGTTCTCACAAAGGTTAGAGACAAGGTGAGGACACTCACCACCTTCACTGCTATTCAACATTGTTCTTGACGTCTCAGCCAAATAACTAGAGGCATAATAATTGGGGAAAAAATTAAAAACCTATCTCTAGTTATAGATGACATGATAGTATTCTTGGAAATCCCTAGTGAATCAACAATAAAATGATTCAGCAAGGTAGCAGGAAATAAAATTAATATAACAAGTCATTAATTTTCACATATACAAATAACAGTTTGGAGATATAAAGGAAGAAAAACATCTCATTTGCAGCATTAACAAAAAGACAAAACACTTAGGAATAAAATATTTAGGAAGAAACACATAAAACCTATATGAAGAAACCTTTAAAATCTCTGGAAGGCCACAAAAGTAAACCAGATCAGATGGAAAGGCACTCCTTATTCTTGATGGAAATGTCTCAGAAGCATCAAGAGGTTGGCTCTCCCTATGTTAATCTGTGGATTTTGCTAACCAATGAAAATTGTAAAGGAAAACTCGGCTATTAAACAATGTCCCACAGCCCTGGCCAGTGTGGCTCAGCTGGTTGGAGCAGCATCCCAAGCACCAAAGGGTCATGGGTTCAATGTCCAGTCAGGGCACATGCCTAGGTTGCTGGTTCGATCCCCCGTTGGGGTGTGGGAGGGAGGAAGCGGATCAATGTTTCTCTCTCACATGGATGTTTCTCTTTCTCCCTCCCTCCCTCTCTCTCTAGAATCGATGAAACACATGTCCTGTGGTGAAGATTTAAAAAAAAAGTCCCACAGTAAATCAAATTTCCCACCAGCAATGAGAGAAAATATAATGAAAGAAAAGTGCTGCATTCACAATAGCAATGAAAACTCCGAATGCCTGAAAAACATTCCAGATTTTTACCAAGGAAGGACAGACACACAAGACGCGCCTGCCCCTGGCAGGAGCCGGCAGCCCACCAGTGGGGTGTGAGGGTGGAAACTTCACGAGTGATTCTACAGTCCATCTGAGAAACCACCCAGAGGAGAACAGTCACGGCGACACTGACACGGGGAACAGTGAAGGAGTCACTGTCGGCTCGGACGGGGAGAACGGAATGCTGACACTGATGTGAAAACAGAGATCAGCTGAAGAAACACAGGAAGCCCGGAACCGGCGGAGAACATACGGAGACGAGGTTAATGATTGGGCATTTCACATCCGCATTGGGTTGGAATTGCTTAGTTATTCGGAAAGTCATAAAGATAAATGCCAGTTTCATGTCATACACAAAAATAAGTTAGAGGCAAATTAACATGAACAAGATGGAAGGGTGGGGGTGAAACATCTGTATGGCACAGAGGGGGGCCTGGCGCAGACCCGGGCGCGGGCTGTGGTGTACGCGGAGGTGAAGATGGGACATTCCACATATCTCGCTGGGACGACTAGCTGGCCGTGCTGGAAGAAACCAGTTAGATC